ACTTATTTTATATCAATTTTGAAAACAAAAATGCAATATATTTAAATATCTCAATAAATTGCCCAACCCTAGTTTTTCTGCTTCCACACATGAAAACCTCAAATGGCTGAATAATTTCCTCAGCATGCAGTGCAGTTCTCCACAGTTCTGCTAATGACCTGAAAATTTGACTGGACACGTCTTAAAGGTGCAGGACGCGAGACCTAGAGGGCCGGAAATGAGGAACCCTGTTCTAGTGTGTTATGATTTGAAAATAATTAAAGCAGTTATAGTGTCTGTATGGAGTTCAGTTTAGACAATAATTTTATCTTTCTTCGTAGGGAACTTCATGAAGAAAGTGGCCTTACTGTGGACATGCTTGACAAAATTGGAAACATCAAATTTGAGTTTGTTGGAGAAACTGAGCTGATGGATGTCCACATCTTCAGAGCTGATAGTTATAACGGGGAACCAACAGAATCAGATGGTAAGTTCCTTATATCCTGAGAAACCAAAGTATTTTAATCCTTAATAAAAGTAGAAGTGATACAAAAACGAGGGGAAACAACATTTTAAATATCTTTCTAAGAAAAGCATCTTGAAAACCCTAAAGAAGAACGTCTTTTTGGTATTAGTTCCTCCTAAACTTGACTACTTTGAATTTTAATATGAAAGACTTTAGGCTTGATCGCAATTAAATCACAGTTTCTTTCTTTCTTTTTTTTTTTGGTCAATAAGCCTCCATCGTTCTCTGTGTGCCATATTTATATTGATGAAAATACTTCAAGCATCTCCGGATTCTTCAAGTTTTAAATTAGAGAAAAAAGTGTTATTTAAAGTTTTTTTTGGTGTATATGTTCATCCCTTCAGTTTACAGCACGTTCATGATCCCTGTGTTATATAGGTGGGTTAAGAAAGTGGTTTGAAAAGTAGTTAGAAAGTAAACATTGTAAGGAACCCTGAGAAAGATGTTTGAAGGAACTGAAAGACAGCTGAAGGTAAGCAGGTTATATGGAGGGAGACTTTTTTCAATAACCTATAAAAATAGTAATAACAGCATCACACTGTTTACTGTTCCTTACAGGATCGTCTGTCGAAATAAAGATGTTTCGCTGCAGAGGAAAAAAAAGATGTTAAGGGTTACCTTTAGAGGAAAGGCTTCAAAAATATGTCAATACACCTTTAAGAGCAAAAGGAAGTGTAGAAAGAGGAATTTGCAGAATTCACACACAGGGCTGTGTGCTTTCTAAGAGAAAAATCGAGGTCAACTGTGTGAGGATTAAACATACCGATAAACTGAAAACCACCACCTCTGATACAATCAGACATAAATAACCCTCAAGCAAAACCTCTGGAGGGTAACAGAAGTCAGAGATGAGAAGCGGAAAGGGGAGAAAAATACTTTAGGTTTGGTCAAGTATGAAAAACATTTTATGTGCATTTATTTCACGAAAATCAAGTAGATTAAAACATTCAGAAGCTATTGAAAGATTAAAACAATGTCATTGCAGAGCAGAGATTAAAAATATGAATAGAAATATGACTCTAGAGGACGAGGAGCTTATGGTCCTCTCTATCAAGATACCAGGCCTACATCATCTGCCCTCTTCACCACCACGCTTGACACTTTTTAAGAGGAATAATACCAATATTTTATGCTAAACCTTACATTATCATTCATGCCTAAGCATTTTTAAGTTGATCGTCATCTGCCAAAAACATATTGATCCAAAAGTCTTGGGTTTCATTCATGTCTAAATTTCAAGCCTAAGTGCTTCAAAATTGTTTTTCCCAACAGGTTACATATAAGCCACATTTGATCGGTCTCTTTTTAACCAAACAAGTGCATCTTTTAATATTTAGAAGTTAAATTGATCTTTTGGTTGTATTTATGCTGAGCGGTTTGTTACCTTTCCTTCTTGACATTGTGTTAAACAGTATCTGTGTCAGTCTGATCAACCAACTAAAACTCCTGTTTCCATGGACGTGGCCCCACCTGTTGTTTCTATCATTGCTACTTTTTTATTTCTTACCCAACAATAACTGTGTGTTGAGTTATTATCTGATCAAAATGAGCATTGGAAGACTAAAATAAGTCATATTTTAGTGCCGTTATTTTTGTTGTTTCTTTTTTAACTCGTATATTGTGTTTTGCAGAAATGAGGCCCCAGTGGTTTGACTGTGACAAAATCCCATTCAATCAGATGTGGGCCGATGATATCTTGTGGTTCCCCTTGATGCTACAGAAAAAAAGATTTGTGGGATACTTTAAGTTCCAGGGTCACGATGTAATTCTGAGCCACACGCTGGAAGAGGTACAAGAGCTGTGATGTAAAACAACCATGCAGCAATTATTTGTTTGGGACCAAAGAAATCTTTGTTCTTAAGATTTTGACCATAATTAGTGGAGATAACTGTTGATGTTCACGGTTCATTTAGCAGAAGAAATGAGAGGATCCTTTGGACCTAAAGAGAGATGTGAAGAGAAACGTTTACACACCTTACAACTGTAACATGAGTGAAAATAAACCTTTACCTTTTATAAATGTGTTTTATGTGTTTTATTCAGAGGAATCACCAAGTGAACCAAAGCAGCAGAATGTTGCAAGTTTATTTAGTACAAAATAAAGCTTTATCAAATCTAAATGTCTATATATAATACATGTAGCCAAAGTTTTTTTAATCTGATTTTAGATTAAAGGCAAGGTAAAAAAAAAAAAATAAAGTTGATGACCTGTCAGAAGATGGTGATTTGCTGTTTTCTGTATCAGCTTGTCAATAAGCAGCAAATTGTGCTTTTGTAGAGCGACACTGTCAGTACTATTGCTTAGTCAATAAGATTAAAGTGTGTCTGATCTACAATGTCAAAGTTTAAGGACAGTCCGCTTCAGAAGCTTATAAGACAGTTAACAGAGAAAGACAAGTTTTTTTTTTTTTTTTTTGTGGTTTGAAAGTTTGCGAACCTTTCCTGAATGTTCCATGACTGCTTTGATCAGATTTTAAACAAAAAAAACTCCAAAATGCTCCCTTTTAAGTCGCATTGAGAGGTACGTCCTGCACCAAATCTGCAATGTTCTGTGTTCTCATCATTATTTTTTTCCTCAATTAATGCAAAATAAATTATTCTCAAAGATGAAGCCTTGACATCGTGTAAGGTTCAAATCCCTGCCTCTTTTTTTCTACATTAAGGGCCTGTCAGGAGGTTTGCACGTGCAAATGTGTCTGTAGGCACAGAGCAGATCTTCAAAGATGATTAATATGCAGATTATATTCCAACGGTCAAAGTGCACACAGTGATGGGTAAAGGATGTGCAAATTTAAACTTTTCCAATGCGCAATGCTACTTTTCAAAGCTGAAACTCAACTGCCCCTGCAGCTTTTGGGTCTTTTTTAGCACCTTTGAAAGAAAAGTGCAAACTCAGGCAAAAATGTCTGCAGTCGCGGTTACCCCTAAGGAGGCATTTTTACAATAATAGACGATAGATATTCTGTGGGCATGGTAACATTTGGAATGTCAGAACTAACAATAGTAGTATAATAGTGAAAATATTTCTACATAGGCCAGCACAAATAAGTACAGTGGGATGGCAAACAATATGTATACAATTTAAGCAAAATGGAAAAAAATTAGTTTTCTTAAAAATTGTGCCATTTGTATTATAAAAATAAGGGGAGGGGGGTTAAAGTGCACATCTCTTACTCATGCCAAGAGTTGCTTTTTCCCCCTCCTTTGCTAACCAGCCCTGCACAAAGCACAGTTATGTTAAATTACTGGCCTGCCTTGTTTTGCAGTATCTAGCCTGTAGCTGGTGTTATGGAGTTGGAGATAAATCCAGCTGTTCTAGACATAGCGAAGCAGTTTTCTCGTGATAATTAGATGATAATTTTCTCGTTAGAAAGTTGTTTTCTCGCAATAACGAGATCATTGGTGTGTGTTAAAACTAATTACATCCTTAGAAACCTCAACAGCGGTAGAGGATTTATAAGTGTAAGTCATGGCAGCCTATGTGTAATTCTGTAAATAATCCTGTGTTTAACTTTTAGGTATCAAGACGACGTTGTTCTTAAGCAATTAGGCCTATGCCTCTGGGATAACAGGTGCATTAACCCCCAAAATAAGTTCAGACTAAAGATTTTTTATTTTAACAAAAAGTCCTATTTGTTTCTACTATATTTCATGCAATCCAATCACCTACCATGACCTGACAATTAGTGAAAAGAAAAAGGAATCTAAAAAGCTGATTATTTGCCCATACGCGGCACCGCGACTGCACAACTACGGATACCGCAGGCATGGATGGACTGGGAATCCAGGGCTGTAGGCCAGCCTCAATTGTTACTCAAACCGGTTAATTATCTTGTTTTCTTAAGAAATAAGTGTTTCCTCGTGATAACGAAATAATTATCTTATCTCAGCAAAACAATTTTTTTTAACTTTTCTTCATTCTAGATGGGCTACCAATTTTAAATGTCCTTCAATTGTTATAATAGTACCTATTATTATTTAAACACATTTTTTTCCTTATTTACACCAACTACATGGCTTAGAACCTTGTCTTTCTTTGACAATCACCAACTGCCAGTATCAAAAGCAACCACTAAGTGTAATGGGGCAATACAGACGTCTTTGCCAGAAACACGGCCACTTATTGCATGTGCAAAAAAAAATAAAAGAAAGTTCCAGGTGTAATTTAGCACCCTTGGAATCTTTTAAGAACACACATTCCCAAATCTCCATGGGGATGTGTGGGTTCTTCCCATTACTCCAGCTACAGTACCACCCACTGTCCCAAAAACATAACTGTTAGGTAATCTAAACTACACATAGTTGTGTTTGCAAGCATTACTGTGTTGTTGCTCCCTGATGGGCTGAGACCTCCCTGTGGCGGACATGCATCCTTTTCCCAATGAGAAAGAATTAACCTTTTGAAATTAAAATTAAACTTTTTTTCGTGGTCAGTTTTGTTTTAAGACCTTCTGCAATCTTCCAAAATATTTAATGTAAAAATTGACGAGTTATATCAAGTTAGCTCTTCGTTTATCGGGAGTCCCCTTTATTACTTTAGCAATTTAAAAATATGTAAAGGTTTCAAACTATATTTTATAGAAAACAAATCAAAAGTCTCAAAATATTTGTCAACATATCCAAAAGGTCACAGAATTGTCAAACATATAAACTATACTTAGAAACATAAAATCTCTAGTGATAAAGCTTTTCAGAAATATGCATGAAAATGACTGAATAAAAACATCCAGAAAGACTCAATGTCAGTATTTTAGTGTGTTTAACTTAAAAAGCCATAAACTATTTACTTAAAAATATGTGTCTGAATATACGCCAGTTTTTTTATCCAGCTTGTATCCCTTATAGAATAACAACCTTTAGCTTTTTGTTTCTGTGCTTAAAATTGTAAAAGAAAAAGAAAAATACTTCATCCTGAAATAAGAGCAATATTCCAGAGCAGAAATTAACACAAGAAGTTAATGACTGTAGATAATATCCGGATTTATATTTTAAATAATAATATTGGATGGAATCTAAGCCATGTTATAGGCTTTCGTAGGCATAAGCTCACAGAGCTTTTTATTTTCCAGTTGTTGATCTTCATCTGTTGGAGTGTTTCTCTTCTACGGGTTTCAGATTGGAGTTTTTAGTCCGTTTTTACTGCCAAAGAGACATCCGAGCCTTGGTTGCAGCTCATTCCACACTTCACCCATCTGCAAAGACAAAAATGGGGGGAAAAAAGAAAAGAAAAACTGTTTATGTAAATAAACCATAGTTCAGGATCCATTATAAGTTTATGCACACCAAACACCCCAAAATAAAATACGCCTAAAAAAAAAATCTTCATTAAAAACCAATAATGCTCACACATGAAACCAAGCAATTGGTTTTTATCACCTCTACCTCAAAGTTTTTGTCCAAGGCTCATGTTCGGCCCTCTACACACCTGAATTCAGCCGTAAATGCTGATCATTGTTATTTCATGGTTACCAATGGCAACCATACAGAAGACTGACATTTCTGCCTCAAGTTAACCCTTTATAGGGCAAGTTACCATTTCTGATCATTTGCATACCCCTTACAAATGTGTTTCATTAAAATATTTTGTTCCTAAAGTGGCTTTAGATTCATACCGGTAAAAAGCGGAACATTTGGGAAAGCAGCACGCACATACATATTAGCATATCAACATATACATATCACCACAATTTCTCCATTGTGGGACAATAAAGGTTTTTTTCTATTAAATAGGAAGCAGTATGTTCCAAGCTGCCACTAGGAACTAAACAGTTGATAGGATGCAGCGACAAAATCCACTTTACGAAATTAACCTCAAATACATTATTTCTTCTGATGTACTCTGTGTGAATCATGCAAATGTTAACACCTTCGTATATTTAGGGTTTTATAAGGAAGACCATCAGCCGTTTGTGCAACCTCTATTTTTGTTTTTTTTCTAGAAGGCTAGTCTTAATTTGATGATTATCATTAATCATGCTCGATTGTCTTTAAGTGTGTTTGTTTTGTAACGACGTCTGTAAGTCAGAAGGCTGTCCACGTTCAGCACAGTGGTCCAGAGCTCCTTCCCTATGGAAGAAAAACAGTCTCATTGGAATCTGCCTTTTTTCACACCAAATTTTAAACACTGAATTTTTTTAGACATTGAATTCCTTACACTCAATTTTTATCTGGTAAAAATTCACCAGAAAAAAATCAGCTGCAAAGAAATTCAGCTGCAAAAAATTCCTCTTCGGTTAAAAAAAAAAAAAAGGCAGATTCCAATGAGACTGTTTTTCTTCCATACTTCCCTATCCTAGATAGCGTTTTTATCGTTGACCTAGTGAAAAGGACCTGGTGCTACAATTTGAGGTACATGAAAGTAGCCTAAGATTCATTATGGGCAAAAATGGCCGCATTTGAGCAAAATCTTATATATTTCAATGTTTCCTAACCTTTGTGGATTATTTTGGATCTTTAATAAACATAGTGCAGTATAAAGCCATATTTAGCATTATTTATACCTTTAACTCATGAATGCATTTGAACTCTACATGTACCACACATTTATTTGTTAGTTATATTAAATTGTGTTTATTTTGAACCAAGAACCCAGCTACTTTTTCTTAATATGCACACTGATATTTTGGTGAACACCTGTGAGAAAAAGGGGACTGCGTGGTTCAAGGACCAAGACTAAACCCAATCCAGCACATAGATCCAATGCTTTTAGAAGTTGCATCTCCTCATAATCCAGTCATCATAATGGGTCATGTAGTCTTGGTGATTCCTCAGAACACGTTCCCTCCTAATTCTCCAATTTAGCATCTAACATAGTCAAAGAATCCATCATGCACCCTTACACACAGGTGTCTCAACAGTATTTAAATGCTTACAAAAGCCATGAGAATTCCTCACACAGATTTTACCCATTAATAACCAGAAAGAGAAATACATTAGCGAGTATTCTTTTAATCTTAGCTGTATTTGAACCCTTTTTTGTCCCTTTATGTAAGTGAAAGGTTGGCCCACCAGTGCCAGGATAACCACACTACAAGTCATATCTCATAAAGTCTATGATCAAAAGTTTTATATGAAGTAAAACTAAGTATATAAGTGTAAATATAATTTATTCAGGCTTCAGTTCTCCCAGCTCAGTCACCATCTGTGATGAAAATTGCCTCTCCCTTCTAAATCTGTACAAAAGGGTCATAGTTGGCATGAGGAACTGCACATTTTTTCTGCTGTTTTTTTTTTTTTTTATAGATCACAACTTTTAAAGTTTCAGGCCCTGTTTTGTGGTTATGCAAGCTTTATAAATAAAACTTTATAAATAAAACCCATGTTCCCAAATTCCACAGCACTTATTCTTTTGGACTTATTGAACAAAAAGAAAGATAAGTCTAATGTAGATACTTAGCATATAGCTTTATTAAAACAGAAAAACAATATGTTCCTTAAGTTCATGGAATTTATAAGGGAGTTTTATTCCAGTCACACCAAGCCCTCAGTATTAGTTCTTTTTTTATGGACTTTAAAGGCCAATCTGGCACCATATTGACTACCCACACTGAAGACTGCTGAGTCGACATCAAGGCGAGCCAGTGGAAACCCATTTCCATACAGCCTTACCTCTTTGTGTCCTTGGACTTGGGAGTTAACGAAAGCCCCGAGAATGTGAGAGGTTATTGGAAGGTAGGTGAAGATAAGCTGCGTCTCTTGATGAAGGCAGAACAGGGAGAAATAGTTGCGTAGCTCCATGGTCTGGATGGCACTTTCTTGCTGTTAAAAAAGAAAATATTACAAAACTTCAATTGATTGTAGAATTTAACTAATTATAAAGTTTATAGTTTTAAAAGAAGGCTTTAATGTACACCCCCCCATGTCTCCTTCCTGTAATAAGTCAGAGAAAATGTTTTATTCTGAAATCACTAAATCTGCAAGCATCATCTGTTAACTTTTATTTATCAGAGTTATTCAGGTCAAAAACTGAATCTTATAAAAACAATAAGATGAGTTCTATAAAACATGATATTTGTAAAGTAGAAATGTTACGGCAGACATAACCAGGAGGAAGACTGCTGATTTGACAGTTGTCCAGCAGACAATCATTAACATCCCCTACAAGATGGATACACCTCAAAGGTTAACTGCTAAAGAAGCTGCCATCTTGACACACTGCTATATTAATGGGAAGTTAAGTGGAGGAACGTGTGTTGGAAAAAGATTAACAAGCAGCAGAGATAACGGCAGAGGTGGCAGAATTTTAGAGCGAAGCTTATTCAAGAGTTTAGGACTGTAAACAGGATTTGGAGCGAGTCAGCGCCTTAAGAGTGACCGTGACACAGATGAACCCAAGACACGGACAAGCATCTAGCAGGACATTTTTAAGCACCTTATGCTTCGCTTTGCAGAAAAGCTTTTGGAGGTTGATTTCACTTATCAGTACAATGTGGCACCTCTGCACTCTAATAAGTATCATTACCTGCTTTAATAACCTTTAGAAACTAACAAACTAGCTCTGAACCCTATAGAGAATCTAAGTATTGTTAAGATTAAGATAAACATCAGAGCAAACAATGGAGACGAGCTGAAAGCTGCTGTTAAAGCAACTCGTGTTTCCTTTCCAGCTCAGCAGTGTGACCTGCGCATGCTACATAAAAGGGGCCTAACTCTTTAAAATTAATCTTAATTACATGGCATTCACCTTTTTGATTAAATTATATTAGTTTTTATAACATTACAAATAAGTAAATGTAAAAAAAATAGTATAATGTGAAGGAATTTTAAGAAAATTTATACAATTGATTTACTTTTATTTATAAAAAATACTTTTTAGGGGAGATTACTTATAAAATAAATGCGTGCAAATCCAAGACTAACAACATTGGCTGCATTCACAACATTTCAAAAACAAAAGGAATTGAAAAAGTTAATTACTTTCCTAACTTGGCTTTTAACCACCATTTTGCTTTTGGTCCTAAATGAGCCTTTGATTTCCCACGTTAAATTAAATTTATTCAAGGGGTTTAAAGAGGAGACAGAGTGCTTTTTGAACAATAACCTTTTTAGTGTGGGTGTCTTTGTGCATGAAAATTTTCTTAGGAGTTAAAAGGCCTAAAGTCCACATCACAGGGGTTCGCCTCCTCTCTGAAGCCTGGCTTTCCTTTCTACACTTCACAGCATCATTAAATGTATTTTATAGGTCACCTGTAACTATAAAACTGCTTTAACAATTATTTTACAACTCATGTTAGAACTGAAGTAGTAGCAGCTTTTGCAAGTTTTATAAGTAGGGGGGAAAAAAAGAATCAAACTGAGAGAACAATCACCTGAACGATTCGTGACTCCAGCTGCTCCACTGAAGCCTGCTCTTTGGACTGAACAGTAGCACTCATCATCTGCCTTTTCATCACGCCATACTTGTGCAGCGCTTTCTGGTGCTCATGAAGCACACCCTTTTCATGACGCTCACAGAGATCCTGGAGTAAAACAGGTAGCAGCTTTTACTGATTGATGGAAAGTGGCAAAGTGACACACTTTAAAACAGACTTACATAACAGCCTGGAGTGACAGGACAAGCATTTGCTTTTCACAAATGAAAATCCTGTTTAAAGCAAACCAAAATAGCTAGTTTAAAAATGTATTAATTCATAAAATATTTTAAAAAGGTCATATGGAGATTCTTAAAATTAAAATGCTAAAGTTTTATCAGGTAAAGGCAAATAAGACCGTATGAAATCATATCCTACATTCTTTTACCTTTAAAGTGACATTTATCTTGCACAAAACAACTGAGAAACAAGCAAACCTGTTAGTAGGTGGGATAGTAAAAATAAAAAGGAGTGCAGTAACCTTGTTGCATAACTGTGCAACATGTCTTGAAGAAAATTTTGATTCCAATCCGTTTCTAAATATATCAAATCTCAACTTGAAATGAAGCTCCCCTTTCGGAACTTCTTATATCTGCATACACTGCTCAAAAAAAATAAAAGGATCACGAAAACAACACAATATAACTTCAATCCAATCAGACCTCTGTGAAATCAAACTGTCTGCTTAGGAAGCGGCACTGATTGACAATTTCACACACTCATGGTTGCATGAGACAGGCTGTCATCCAGGAGGGGACATCGATGCGAGTTGCAGGAAAAAGGATTTCTTTTAACCACAGGCTGAAGGAACTGCCAGGAGACTGGTAAGTACACCAGGAAACATGGAGGAAGCCATAGGAGGGCAACAACCCAGCAGCATCACCACCATCTCTGCCTTTTTGCATGGAGGAACAGGAGGAGGAGTGCCAGAACCCTGCAAAATAAACTCCAGCAGGCCACAAATGTGCATGCGTCTGTGAAAAAAGTTAGGAAAAGACTCTATGAGGATGTATGAGGGCCCGAAGTCTACAGATGGGGTTGTGCTCACAGCCAACCCCCCGCCAAGCATTCTCTGGCAAACACTTGATATTTTCCAGAGAACATCAGGATGTGCTCTTCGCACTGAGCATGTGTGACACACATGACAGAGTCTGTAGACACTGTGAAGAGCGATCTGCTGCTGGCAACATCCTTCATTATGACCTGTTTGGCAGTGGTAAGTAATGATGTGGGGTGGCATTTCTTGGAGGGCCGCACAGCCCTCCATGTGCTCGCCAGAGGTAGCATGACTGACATTAGGTACCAAGATGAGATCCTAAGATCCCTGTTGAGACCATATGCTGGTGCAGTTGGCCCTGGGTTCCTACTAATGCAGGACAATGCTAGACCTCATGTGACTGCTGAGTGTCTGCAGTTACTGAAAGATGAAGGCATTGTAGAGAGGTCATACAGGCATTAGGAGGCCACATTCAATAATGAACCTCATTTTGACCTGCTTTAAGGGACATTATGTCAACCTTGGATCAGCCTGTGGTGTTTTTCCGTTTGAGTTTGTGTGTGACTCCAAATCCAGGCCTCCATTGGTTGATAAATATGATTTCCACTGATGCTATTTGTTTAATCATGCACATTCAACTTTGTACAGAACAGAAGTATTCAATGAGAAAATTTCATTTATTTAGATCTAGGGTGTCTTATTTGAGTGTTCCTTTATTTTTTTGACCAGTGTATTAAATATATGCATTTTTTTAGCTAGAGCAACAATTTGCAGACATTTTACAGGAGATTGAAATGATCTCATTAAAGTCAGAGATGCATGCAAAGTATTTCACTATTAACAACACTACATTTTAAACTATCCCACCATGAAGGATGTAATCAATCATGTGAAAAATGTTAAACAAATGAGATATTCTAGAAACTGGAGGGTTAGTGATCAGGGAAGCTAAAGCACCACCAAAGAACCTCAGCTGTCAATTCTGACGAGGCTGGTAGATATGAACACAGGCCAACCCATGACCTTTTTTTCCCCCATCAAGAGAAAAATCCTGAATTTACAGGATTTTGATTTTTTTTTTAGGTTTTTGAATGGTTTGGCTTGGAAATTAATAAAAACACAAAAATAACTTCATATTTATTTAGATACAACTTTCTCTTTTTAGAGAGAACCATGTTACGTGTATCCCTTCCAAACTGGTCAGACTTGTTTGTCTTTTTTTGTCGGTTCTATGCAGCTCGCCATGGGAGGCTCAAGTAGCATTTAACAGCTGAAAGGTTTCACCATCTGAGATTTACCGTATAACCAAATAGTAATCTTGACAACAAACTACTTTATTGGCTACTTTCTGTAATACTTTTATTACGTAAATATTTTATACGTTAGATCAATGGATTATTTAAGGAAATTATTTCAGACCTAGTTTTAAAGGTTAACATGCAGATTACTGTTTGTAAGATCATTGACTGCTAACCTCTGAAACCTCTCTACTAAATCAAAATAATTTATCACATTTCAAACATACCCGATTCCTCTGTCTTCTGGGCTTGGATAAAAAGTAAAAAGAAAAAAAAACACACTCAACATGAAGACAAGTCGTGCTTTCATGCTTACTCTGTATGACTGCAGCAGATCTAGGAAGAAGTTCAGTTTTTCCACAACATCATCCTCTTCTCGTCTGCCCTGAAGACATGAACGGTAACAGCTATTACTCATTTTTAGTTTTGGGGAGACACAGCCGGTATTTACTGCAGGCTTTACCTGCTGAGCGGCTTTGTCGGACAAAACAGCAAACTCCACTGACAGGCTTTTCAAAGACTGACGCAGGGTTCCCCAGCTGCTTTGTGAGGGGGCCAAGGAAGGAAGAGTTGATGCATCTGAGCCCAGGGCACTGAAAAGAGCATTAATATAAAATAAGTATATTTATTGCAGGTTCCAGGCTACTCGGCATGTAAAATCCTCTGCAAAACCCCTAAATCCTACAAGGGGGGGACTAAATTTATATCCCTAATATTAAAATACCTGAGCTCTCGACCAAACTGAAGCAGATCAGTTGCATTCTCCTTTGAGCGCTCAGCCATTTTTTCAGCTCTGTCCCTCAGCTTCTGGAAGCTGATGTGGATATTTTTAATCAGCTCTCTGCTTGTTGAGAACTGAGCCTGAATGTCTGCTGGAAGATATTCCTGCAAAACAGGTCCAACAAATGAAGGTTTTAGTTTAAATGAAAGTAACCGCTCAAATGAAAGTCAGCCTGCAGTCATGGTGTCCTTAACAAACCTTAGCTTGGGTTGCAACTCTGTTGGTCATGAACTCATCACCGCTTTTCTTGCAAGTGTCACGCAGCCTGGTCTGGACATCCTGTTTAGGAAGCAGTGTGATGAGAGGGTGATAGGACAGGGACAAAGGAGTTCATCAAACAGGATGTGCTGGGAAGAAAGTGCTTAATGTGCAAGAAAATACTTAAAAACACACAGAGCCACTGAAGGTGAGGAAGGTCTTGACCAGCTCATCTTCGGAGAAGAAGGGATGGCGGGCCACGAGGTTAATGAATCTGTTCAGAGCTCGTTTTCTCCCTTCAATGAACTCCCGCTCAGACACGGAAGTCAGGACTATGGATAGAAGGAATAAAAATAATCTCTAGAGATTTACTTTATAATAACAACAGTGTGGAGGCAGCATACTAAACAGTTTAACACAACAGTCAATGTTCATCCTATAAGGCTAAGTTAACATGCAAAAAATACCAAAAATCTCAGTCTTGCATTGTACCTTTGTGTCATGGCACACAGTTGCTAAAGAAACCGAAATGCCGGGCATTTTTAGTCTAAAAGATCAAAGCTAATACAGAAAAAGTCCAACCGTTGAAAAATCCCCTGAGAAGCAGCTGAAGCAGCAATCAGGGGGATACACAGTGAGTCATAGCAGCGCCGAGAGAAATTATAGAGGTTTTACTCCTAAAGAAACATCACAGATAGAACTAGCTGAGGGTTTACTGATGGAGATCTGCACATCAGATCCAAGCACTGCCTAAAATTAGCCTCAATAAAGTGTAATCAACTTTTGTAGAATTAGAATTTAAACCTTTTATTAACCATTCTTTAAGAGCATTTTAAAAGCTAGGGAATGAAGAGGCTTAAAAAAAAGGGTCATAAAAACAAAAAAATAAGAATATTTTTATAACTTTTTATAACTTCTCCTACCGCTGTGCATAAAGATGTGCTCCATAAAGATTGATAAGAGACATAAAGCTATAAGGAAACTAAATAAGTGCACACAAATGTAAATATGTGACATCTTAACGTTTTAGTGTATTTAGTCATTTTAAATGGATGGAAAAATGTCACACAAATATTATAAGCAAAATGTAAAATTGAAATAAGAGCACAAAAAAACAATCTAATTATATAAAAAAAATATCAAACAGATGCTGGTCTTTTTTTTTTTATCATAAATAAATAAGTCATTTTTGAACCGCTCACATTGCTATTATTAGAGTATTCGAGAAGTGAAAGCTGCTTATTTTATGCATCACTAGTTTCTATGTGACCGTCTGGCAAAACCTTTGAAGAACTGCACTGACTTGATCAAAATAAATTAATAATTCTTATAAATCAATATGTGTCTATTAAATAAAAACCATTGAAAAGCCTTTTAAATCCTGAATTTTATCTCAAAAATAAATCATGAATTAAGTAAGTAAAGCAATTAGTCAAAAGAATCCAAAGCTGACAGATAATGTAGGCAGACCTAACGGTGTATTTCACACGGTGACCCACCTCCCTTCAGTATCCTTTTAGGCGGCAGTGCTGGAACTATTCTGTAGGCAAATTTCTGAAGCAAAAGTTCATGGAAGACGTCGAAATCACTGTACCGCCTATAAACCGATATTCTATAACGCTGAAAAGAGAAAAAAGGGGAAAAAAGCAGCATTACATAGTAGAAAAGAATAAACTATCTTTAAGGGTTTAAGGGTTTTAAAAACTGCTTTTTTTTAACTACTTTTCTCATTTGTTTTCAACAAACAAGTTGCAGATTTTTTAGGATCCTTGCCTGACTCGTGACCTGGTACTCCACATGCTTGAGGAACAGACCCTTCTTCTCTGGTATCAGCTCCACCTGGACTGTGTCTTTAGCCAGAAGCGTTTCCAGCGTCTGCGCTAAGGTCAGCACGTCGTCCTGAGCCGGCTGCATCCTCAGAGCTCTCAGCTCCCTCGGCTCTCCGAGCTGGGGTTTTGGCAACTCTGTAAATCACAGTTCAGAGCCAACATTTGTTTTCCGTGATTGAATCAATACTCCAGGAGTGACGGGAATTTCAAAACTGTTTGGAATGCCTATCTTTTTATAAACCTTTTTTTATTTCCCTCTGATTATCTCCAGCTAGAACAGTACTGTTGACAGTAATCCATGTGACTTTTATTATTCCTCTCAGGACATTCCAAGACACTCGTGCATAAAATTTTATTCACTGAGACAAACTCAGAAACTCCGTTCTCAGGACAGAACAGGAAGTGGCACGGAGCAAGCTGCCATACTGGCCACACCTGAAATAACAAAGCTGGATTCAACACTAGAAATGTGAACGGATCCAAGTAAAACCTGCATAAAGAAAAGCATAATATATTCATCCCAGAGAGAGAGGGTGAAATGCAGCAGTTATAAGAAAATAATCCGTTGATGAGTCAACAATCATTTGTGCACTCCATGAATTCTCCCTGCATAGAAGAGTGGTAAGGCGAAAGCAAACAAAGATAACCCAACTTTAAGTTGTACAGTGAAAGGAAACGCTCATAGTCAAACAAATCATAAAGTTTGATTTGTTTCCTTACAAACACAATATGTGTGGATAAAACTAATGCTGCACATCCACCTCAATATGCCGTCTAAAACATGTTGAAGTCAGCATCACACGGCCGTGTTTCTTTTCCTGACAGGAAATTAAGTCGGAGATGATTGGGAGATAAATGCTGGATCACTACAGCAGTTCTGCATCAAACCTGGTAGAAAAAAAAAAGGAAACTGGGACAGATATTTAACTTCTTGCAGGAAAACAGCCCTAAAGACAGTACTGGAGGGATGAGGGGGGATGGCATCCCCCTTCTTAAAAAAATCTTAAAAAAATCATCCCCCTTCTTACATGACCATCCCTGCATACCATCCGCTATGACATTTTACAGGGTTTATACAGGAAGGAGGAACTCTAATTTAATGCTTTTTAATGCTGTTTTAATGCTCTTAGAAATTATTTTAATGCCATCAATAAGTACCCATTACTCTCTCTCTCTCTCTATATATATATATATATATATATATATATATATATATACTGTAAACACGGCCAAATCCTTCATAATCTTTAACATCGACAGGCTGCAGCCATGTCCCGAATTTCTTGTTTTCCAGCCACTTATTTAAAAATTAGCTTTTTCCCCATTCTCTAGCTTTTTCTGTGCCTCGAGCTTCTTTTCTGGACATATGGCTTTAGGATCAACCAGAAGCTGTTCCACGCAAACACGTGGAACCAGTTAAATCTGATATATTTGACTAATGTTTTTTTTTTTTATAAAGCATTTTAAATGCCATGATAATCACATTTAATGAATTTAAATGCCAATTAAGGCCTTAATTCAAAAAATAATAATTTAATGACTTTTAATGATTTTTAATGACCCGCTGAAACCCTATTTTAATACTTAATGGGGAAAATTTCTACTATATATTAACAGTAATAAATAATATTGCCCTTTCAACATTTGGCGGGCTGTTGGCTTATGAGAAGCCTGAGCAAAATGAATAAAATCAAAGAAGTGTCCTACCATGACTATGAAGCTGATTCCAGTAGGAAATTTGTCCCCTGCATTTGTCCCCAACTATGTAGGGGCAGTGATAGCCATGCCAGTCCAGGGACTGACTGCAGTTCTACTGTAAGGTGCCTTAGTTAAGGTCAATGACCGGCGTACCTTACATGTAACAACCATACTATGCATATTGCTTTAGGTTAATAGACTATATTTATTAGGCTAGGTATGCTTAAAAAAAATAAACCATCCTCAGGCTCCAATTTTTTTTGTTTTTTTGTTCTACAACTAGACAACTGCCTCAAGATACAGCAAGATCTACAGGAGAATGGTTTAAATGTGTTCGAAAAAACAGAAAATGTTTGTAGACAAGCTTGAGCCTCCTATGCAAAACTGGTAGAGCTACACATTAAATTAACATCTGTAAATTAGTTTTATAAACTTTTCTCTGCGGGGCTGCATAATTTGCCTTTTAAACTTTTTTTTTTATTATTATAAATCCATCCTCCCAATAGCTGTGTATATTTATCTATCATTTATCTATATTGAAGTTTGTGGTTGTGAAAAAGTTTGACAGATAAAAATATTTTTAGTAAAGCATTGCGGCTAGTTGCCCTTTTAATCATGTAAGCAAGGAGGGTTGGATTGAAAATGTGCACCATAACAGATTTGATTGTTAAAGAAAAGAGCCTATTGAGTTTATCCCAGTGATAGAGGAAAACTTCCATGATGAAATAAGAGTGACATTTTTTACCTAACACAGGAACAGACAACATTTCTGAGGTCGTCTTTGGACAACAAGCTACTCATTAAGCAGAAACCTTTATTACTCTCTTGTCGCTCCAACAAAGTCACTCACTTACCCTGTATGAAGCTCTCAAAGAGTTTGGGGCTTGGTTGTTTCCCTTGCTGGGCTAAAGCAATTAAAGCTAGAGCTTTATAGAGGGACAGCTTGGTAAGGAATCCATCTGTGGAGTCGACATGTTCAGCAATCTGAGGAAAAACAAACAAAAATGTAAGGAGACAATATCACAGCCAGCAAACTTTCTCTTTTATCCTGAGATCCTGTGGTTTGCATTCCTGTGTGCACAAAATCTTTACAAAACACAAAGCGAATGATAAGATACAATAGGTCAGAAAAAGGGGAATGGTGCCATCAGTAGATTCATGCATGCTACATATCTATTAACTATTTTTTACCTTTGATTTGCAACTAGAAAATCAAAAACTTTTACATTGTATGCATCCAAGCATCCTGAGGACCCCCTCCTCACCTGACTAATAGCTGCCTTGGACAGGTCTGTCCTTTGAAGGAGCCGCTGAAAAACTTCAGTCTGTACTCTCTCATCTGTCCTGCAGCAGATGGCCTCATGCACTTCTCTATAATAAGCAGGAACTGAACCTAAAAGGGGGAACAACACCTACATGGCATCACATTGGCCTCAATATGAGAAAATATATAACAGGCTGCAAGCAATCAGGAGCTCACTCTTCATAATTAGTCATCTCAATGGAAATGCTAACACTAAAAAAGGATGATGACAATGCAGGTGACTTTGAATAATACAAATGGGAGTTATTGTTAGAGAATCGGCATCCTTTACAGCATGGGCGGTTCTAGGCAGGGGCCGACTGGGGCCAGTGCCCCTGTAGATCATGTCATGGCCCCTGTACTGAAGACATAATACTCAAATAAGTTCTAATGATGATCTGCGCTGGAACAGACATGGCTACTGATATATCCTTTAGATCTTTTTTTATTTTTTTTTATTTTTTTTTACAAATTCTGTTTTACTGTTTTTTTTAAAAACATTAAAGTGATAAATTCAGTAGTATTGAGATAGGATCCCACTTTTCATCTGCTAAATGTCTCTAATTTTTCCGGCTAAATGTATCAGTTTTTCTTGAGTTCTAATTCAGATTTTTATATAAAACGTTTATTTTAACTTAAATTAAATAAAAAAAAATATGTACAATTCCTAATTTATGAATGTTTATTGATCTAATAAAGAATTTTAACTAAACCTTATTGAATAGAACTTTCACTTCATCCAACACTCTTAATATAGTTGAATCCCTTGTTGTTGTTTTTTTTTTTTTTATATCATGCTTTTTGGTGCCCCCATGAAAGCACGCTGGCCCCTGACTGCCCCCCCTGGTGCATTATGTCTAGAACCGCCACTGCTTTACAGATATTTAAACACATGAACAAAATGAATGCATATGTGGCATTTGAAGTAATGCAAGGAACATCTGACAAGATTTTACAAGTAGTCTAAGAAGAAAACAGAAATACTTTAAACTACAACTTGTGCTGTTCTTTTATATTTATCATTTATCAAAAAAAAGGGGGAAAGAATTTTTGTAAAACATAAGGCAGAGTTTTTTGGACTAATCGTTTTGTTTCCGATCACTCAAAAATGTCTAGATCTAAGCGCAAGTGTGTAGAAACGTTTTGACACAAACAACCTGAGGAAAAGTAAGCGATAAATCAAGATTTCTCAGTTTACCTTCATTGATCTCTCCTGCCATGGCTCTGGATGTCATGTGAGCACTGGAGCACATCCATGTGATTTCCTGCACAGAAGGAAAAACAAGTCATTTGCTTCTTAAAGTTGTAGTGAACCCTGGTTGAAGTCCAACTCCTGTAAAGTGAAGCCTGTTGTCACACCGCTGTGAAGTTGGTCTGAAGTTGGATGTTCAAGCTCCGAGCAGTCAGCGGGGTCTAGCAAACGGTGATCCAGAGGAGGCACTCCGATGTCGGCCAGCCTCTCTCAGCTGCTCCCTCCTCCCACACGCCGTGGTGCATTTAGGGACCGTCAGCAAACCAAACACTCTATGAGAAAGAAAAATCAATTCATTCTTCATCTTATGACCAGGTAAGATGAAACTAATATAAAATCATGCCAGTAGATAACATATGTAAGGCACACTTGCTTTTATTCCATTTCAAGCCTTTTTATATTTTTAAATTTTTATTACAAAACTAATTGGTATTTTTTCAATAGCTTCCAGGTCATGTGACCCACTGACTCCAAATCTATGTCAAATTGTTCTACTTCATTATCCAGATGGGGGACACTCATTTGTATTCCAATTTAGGCCTTTGTTCATTTTTAAGATTTTTTTATTATAAAAAATAATTGATAGATTCCAGGTCATGTGACCCACTGACTCAAAATTTATGTGAAATTGCTCTACTACATTAGTCTGATGAGGCGCAGTCATTTTTATTCCATTAAGCCTTTTTATATTTTAAAAACAAAATTTATTACAAAAATAATTGATATCTCTTCAATAGCTCAATAGGAACTGATGATATATATATATATATATATATATATATATATATATATATATATATATATATATATATATATATATATATATATATATATATATATATATATATATATTATGAACTTGATGCTTCAAGGATTTGAAGAACCAGAGCTTTTCTTTCTTGTTTCATTATTATTATTTTTCACGTCATCAATACCAAATTCAATCTAATTGGATGGGAATCTACGTTGCATTTGACGCACCACTACAAGATGAATCGACAGATTCGGCGGTAATCATTCATGGCGAATCATTGCAGCTTGGTGGCGGTGGCGTTAGCATAGTAGCATGGACGACGAGATGATTGAAAATGAACACAACGGAGATCTAGTCCTATTGGCAGACATCCATTTAAAATGTTGGCAACGGCATAAAAAAGTGGTTTCTACTTTTACTTTTATACTTTAAGTAAATTTACAAGCCTGTACTTTGTTACTTTTACTTGAGTAAAGAAGTTGAATCAGTACTTCCACTTTTACTAGAGTATTTTTTAACACAAGTATCTGTACTTTTACTCAAGTACGGAAAGTGAGTACTTTTGCCATCTCTGCTTCTTGCCTTCTTGGTTGACTGAAAATCCATATCTGGAATACCAGGAAAGGCTTCCATCAGTTCTTTAGTCATCTAAAGAAACAACACTGCTTTAGACTCTGATTTTCATTGCATAATACTGCAACAGACTGTAACAGGTACTTTTGGACAAACATGTAGTGTTGGACAAACAAATATGTAGGAGAAAGAATGTTGGACATGTTACACTGTCCATCATTCTGTTGTTCCTTCTCTTTGCCCAACAGCAGGGGTCTCAAACTGGTTCCAGAAAGGACCGTGTGGTTACATTTTTTCCCTTTAACCAAGTAAAAGCACACCAGACTCCAGTCATCTCATCATGTCATCATGTTAAGACTGGACTGTCAAGGAACGCTATGGACAGCGGAAACATGCAGGAGGAGGAGAGTTTTGTGTCGGAGGTCGTGGATGAATCTCCTCCGTCATACATTTTTTATTTAGAGAAGGAAAATGGGTATGAAGTTGTTGAGGAAGAGGACGCCAGGGCGGCAGAAACTTGGTTTGGTGTAGAAGGCTTATAGCCGTACATGTTTGAGCCCTTGCCTGGCAAAGCTGCCAGTTCTGTTAGCTCTACGCCTGCTGAAGACACAGACGTCGATCCTATTGAACACTGGGACGGAACTCAATGGGAAAGTAAATGATTCTTATTTCAACCATTGCGTATATTAGCTGCGACATATGAACCAAGATGCTATGACCAGAAAAAATTGATTGACGGATGACCTTTAATATATGATTGGCCGAATTAAGGTGTTCAGGCTGATGTATAACTAACTGGCCTGCATAAGATAATGACAAAAAAAAAAACAGATTTTAAGAAAGGATTTTATTTTTCTAGAAATTTTCTAACTTTTGGGACGATGTCGTTTGATCAGGAGTACATTTATATGCATGTTTAAGCCAGAATGATTTGAAATTTAAATATGACTTTCCTATGACTTTAAGGATCAAGCAGTCATACAAAGTGTTGTCCCTTTGAATAGACAAATGATCTGTTATGTATTTTCTCAGTACTTCTTACTTCAGACCATCACATAAAATCCACCATCAGAACCTCACACTGATAAATTGGCAGAAAGTTTGATGGGAAAAAGTTTGATTCAAGGCTCCAGCACATTGAGAACTGAAAAAAAAAAAAGAGAAAGATCACCTCTCAGAGGCAACAAGCAGCAGCGTCTCCATTACTAACAGTATGGGCCTGATTTTAAAGTCTGAAGGAGCTCCTTTGGGGGGCAGCAGCAGAAGGCCGCTGGGATCCTTGTTACTGGGAGAAGAAAAAACATCTGTTATTGGTCTGTTGCCACCGATGTGGAAAGAAAATAGACATTAGTGTTTTTAGACATTTACCTGAAATAATTACAAAGAGATTCAAATGTCACTTTCACAGACTCCGGCTGATCGTCCTAACTTATATTTTTCTACAATACAGCAGATTAGAATTAGTAAACCTGAAGTCAGAGGTAAGAAGTTAATTGTGCAGATCAGCAACATCATAAAAATAGATAAAAACGGGTCAAACATTTATGGATTGATAGCAGATTCTATTGTTTTAATAGAATCAGAAGTGTCCTCATCTGGATTTGATATATGGAAAGATGAGGCATTTTATCACCATCATGTGAAAAAAAAAAATGTATTTGTATTTAAAAACAGATCATTAAAAGAGTCACTGTTTACATATGAGAAATTTTTTGTAGTCACATTTTAATAGACATTTCACTTTTTACAAACTTTAAAGCTTTAGTGTTTTTTCTCCGATTCAGAAATACATCAAGAATCTGTTAACAAGACTGCAATCCGAACAACCAAGGTAATTTCCTGTGCAATGACCTCAAATTTAAATATTTGTATTTTGGAGCCATTATTTCTGCTTTGTGACAACATGCTGCAAAACAAACATTGTTTTTAGAAAAAACAAACAAAAAAAATGCATCACTGCTAACATGACAAATAACTTGTGATCTTGTTCAGGTTATTTTTGTTAGGTGATCCATTTTCCAAAAGCAAAGGCAGCTTCACCAGACCTTTTTGAAGTGGTTCCTTTTCTGCTTTCCAAAAAATAAGTTAAAGACAAACCACTGGACTTTTTTTCCTTTCCTGCATAGCTTGACACAAAACTAGAATGTTATAGCCTCATTGTACATGCTTCCCTCACAGCAACTGAACATCTTTCCTCTACCATTTGCATAAGTCATTGAATGGTTTAGTCAAGGGCAATCTCCGGAAAATCCCTTAACAATGAAACTATCTTGGCACCCTTTTCCTTTAAGTTAAGAAATAGCAACACAGGATTTAACTCTATATAAAACAATAGTGGTTTTATTTGTAACCAATTCTCTCCTGTTCCCACCACCGCAGGTTTTTTTGGTTTGATCTTTGTTCCTCATTCTTCAAAACTATGACTGAATAAAAAATGTTGCCTTCAGTTACACCTTGTAGACGTCAGTAGCATTTATTTATTTATTTATTTTAAAACCTACATTAGATGAAAGGTTTTAAGAAAGGGTTTGAGTGCAAATTTTTTGATTTTTTGCATGTACTATATAAAAATGATTAATAGTTTTATCATTTAGGAAACATCAAATGAATTAGTCTGCATTTTCCTACAAAAAAAATTACCTAATTACTATGGAGTGCGGTGAGTGCCACAATACAATAAATCAATAATGTATCAAGTGAAAATTTAAATGTATCACAAATTTATTAAAACAGAATACATTGCAGCATTGCTGGACTTCCTGGGTTGGTCCCTCCTGGGCGCCTTTGCTTTGGGGTTCCTTTGGGCATCTGGGGTTTTGGTCCCCCGGTGTTCGCCTTGGCGCTCTGGGGGGGCGGGTCTTTGGCTCTTCACAACCACTATTGAGCATTTTTCCTTTGGATAAACTTTACATGCACAAGTGCACTCTCACAAACAACTACAGGTGCTTGGTTCATACAGAAAGCTCATATTCTTATCTTCTCTTACCACAGTATACATGTCAGATTAAATAATACTACGTATACTTCAGTGATAGTATCAAGTTGCTACTTTATTGTATCTCTTATACTATATCTGTTGGTTATGCCGTTCTTTTTACATCTCTCCTTGCAGGTGATGAAGCAGACTGAAGACGTTTTATCATTGTCTCTTCTTTCTTACATCTTTTCTCTTTTTTTCTGTTATTCCTTTCCTGTTCTACCTACATTGCAGTGTCCATATAATCTGTAATACTCCCTGCATAATCACACTAAAGCTATTTATATGCATAAATCAAGCGGAAAACTATGGTGATAGCCGTACTGCTCCACTTGTGAAAGAGAAATCTGTTGGGCCGTTTCTTGGCATCCAGACAATTATTAGAAAGGACACTGTAAAAAAAAAATAAAAAATAGAATACAGTATTTCTAATAAATGTATGGTTATTTATATGGGCCTCAATTTAATGTTTTAATTTTAATCTTAAAAGTGAGAATTTTTAAAGAATATTTCACATTAAAATAGAAAAGGTAAATTGATTTAGCTGTGATATTCCCAACATTCCATGAATCGCTCATGGCTTTAATGCCAGCTCGCCTGTAGGTGTCGCTGCAGGATCCCTTTTACATCGATAGGGCGTGTGTGCTTGCTGTGTTGTAGCCGGGGTTGGGCTGAACTGCCAGCTGAGGGACTGTCGTGAACAGTCGCAGTGTTGGCTCAAGTCGTCTGCGCTCAGTATTAGCTGGACTGAGAAGTGAGTCTGAGAGATTTCTGCCTTGGAATAAGTCTGCGAAAGAATCACAAAAGAGACTGAGGAAGCAACAAATCTGGATGAAAACACGCGCAGACCAGAACGCCAAATGGAACAAAAAAGGACTTCTTCTCTTCCGCGTATCAGTGTATTCAACTAACTAGCAGCTAAAAGCTAACTAACCTCTATAGCTCTCTTAAAGAGCTTTAAATAGCCCTTTGTTTTTGTTTTAAAAAGCACGATTAAATGGACCTCGGGCTTTTGGAGTTTACTTCTAACGTTACCACAGGATGCGTCTTAAGAGTTCATTGCTAATAACAGCTAAATAGGTAGTTTAGAGTGGTTATTAGTTGGCTAGTTACTAGTTAAAGTTAGCTCTTCGTGTCGGTGCTTGTTCAGCTGTCTCTCGAATGAAGTGATTTTTTTTAAGCAGCTAAAACAAAGCAAGCTTTAGTTGTAACACTTTTATGGCATACCTCTAACGTTTTTGCTCTTCATGATGGACTCTGTCTGAATGAAGTGGATTCGTTTTATTGTTTACAGCTGAAAACATCTTTTTTTTTTTTTAAATACTTTTGATTGAATCTCCTGACTTTTCGTCGCCATGGCAGCTGTAGTCAGCTACTCTCCACCTTGGTGGGTAAACGTGCTGCACAGACTTCCCCACTTCAACCTAAAGTTTCAGCAAACAAGCAGTGATTTCCAACCAGAAGACTGGACATATCAGCAGGTAGCATGTAAACAATGTTGTGACATCATCTAATTGTTAGCTACAAAATAAAGGATTGTTTTCTATGTATAACTTTCCAATCAGGTCTGGAACCTGGAATTAAAGATTGATGGTTTATTGTGACAGGCTTCCACCTGTTTGCTCTATTTACCTTGTGATCCATGTCACCATCTGTGTAAACATCTACTATCAAGGCCTTAACCTTTTTCAGACACAAGCCGGTTTGCTCTGTTTTGTGTGCAATTGAGTGCCTAAGAAACATTTTGCTGAATAGTGCATTGAGTTTACAATGTGATGTCTTCAGTTCAGTTTATATAAATAGTGCTAATTTATAACACGTCATCTCAAGGCACTTTACAGTTCACCAGATCATACAGTCAAATTGATTAAAAGTTTTCTATTTAAGTAAAACCAGTTTATTGCATAGTTTTTCACCCTAGATTTGGAAGGATAAAATCTGGAATAGGGAATAGAGAAAAGGAACACATGGCCGTTTTAACCAGTGGCAATGATCTAAGAAGAGTACTCAGCTTGTTAGTCAGCTAAGATTTAGGGAAGGGAGAGATGGATTTGTTCAGAAGTTCAAAGCAAATCATACTAATCGCGATGACGTGTTAAGCAGAAGTTTAGTATTTCTTAATTTCTTTGGAAGCAGCTGCTTTTGCTGATTTAAGTGAATTGTTTCCAGGAAGTCCTAAAGTTTCCATTTGTCTAAGTCAAAAGACAAATGCCTTTTTAATTGGGAGATATTTGGAAACAATTTTGGTTTAAATAGAAATCTTATGTTTCTAAGTTATATTTAACTTTTTTTTTTTTTTTTTAAAGATCCCTTCTTTTGGTTTGTGATTGTGTTTTTTGTTGTTTTGTTCTCTCTTTATGGATTTTGGGCTATTTTCTAAGGTCAGTTGAGCATTGGTAGAATTGATTCTGAAAATGGAGAAGCAACTCATGATTCCTGAGAAATGGGAAGATATTTCCCAGACATGCGTCTGTGGGTTTATGGAGATGTGTTTCATCTTGTAAGGGTATGTGGGTTGGAAAATAAAGTTCCACTACAGGCTTGCTGTGGTTTATTTTCTTACTTCATCCTCCTTCAGTTCATGTGGGCGTCTAATGTTTGCTGCCAGCTCTTGTTCGTTTCCTTCCGGATTTAATGGACAAAATGATTCAGTTCTTTTATTTTTGTAGCAGATCGGCTCTCTGGCAGGTTATTGGATGAATGATAGGTTAGTTTGCATCATGGCATGAACAGACAGGAACGGGACACGAGGATGTCCTTGTAGACTGTTCATTTAGCCACTATATGTTAATTATCTGTCATCATATTTATTTATCATGACAAGTGTGTAAAATATGCCACCACAGGCTCATCCTACCAGCTGCTATTGTCCAACCTCCTTGATGACATCCTGGTAATTATTGTTGATGCAGCTCTTCCCCCACAGGCTTAAGAGGAGGTTTCAACTCGTCCAGATGGCCGAGCTGTCACCGTTGCTTACTATGCAAATGCATCTTAATGATGCAACTTTAAGTGACTTCTGTGTGTCAGAGATGCACCCAAATCATGTGCATTTGTTCAGTCGTTTTCTGCTCCTCACTGAGCTCCAAAGAGCAAGAGCCAAGAAGTGTGTGTCACAGTAGATAAATGGAGCGATGTCACCGCTCTTTGTAGGCTCTGCTTCTTTATTTTCCTTAAGGCTAGAATAAAATTGCTTCTAGAAACGAATGATCATTTGAGTGATGTTTTATTTAGAGTGAGTCATTGAAGGGATAAAAATGGAGCAGGGTAGAGGAACGCTACCTTTTGGAAATCTGCCTCAGATATTTATCCTCAGGAGTCTGTAGGGAACACAGAAACCTTCTGCCTGACCTACATACTGTATGAAGGGTTTGCATTGGCTGAGAGGTTGAACTATCACTGTACATCACTCCACTGTAAGCTTGGAAATACTCTGAGTCCTTTGAGTACTGGAGCTGTTCGTTAAAACCATGTTCTTGTTCTGTTTTGGTTGTTTGTTTTATTCATTTTACATTGGCCTTCAATGTTGTTTTTTTTCCCAGGACATTCTGTCATCATTTCACATTTGATGTGTGATTAAGTGTTAGCTTTCTAGCTAAAAGGAACAGAACAGCCTGTGGATTTTTCACCCCACACCCCCACAATTATTCCCAGTTTAGATGACTAAAATCGGAAAAAGGCATATCACATCAGATCTGTGTGATTCAAACATTGTTACTCTGCGTTTTGAAGGGAGCCAGCTCTGTCAAATCCTTATAAAGTGTGAGATAAAGCAGTAGTGAGATCAAACAAGCTGAATATAGACTTTAGAACAAACCAATGCAGCGGTTTAAAGAGGTTGTGTAAGAGTTTGAAATTGCCTTGTTCCATTCTATGGAAAATGGTTCAAAAGTTTAGGAAATGCAGAATAACTGCCGAGGTCTCTAATGAGTTTTTTTCTGAAAGAATACTGCAAGCTGCTTAAGTCCTAAAATGTAATCACAGGACCTACAGCAGGCTCTTGCTCTGTTGACATATATGCTCACATTCCTAAAGCTGAAAAGACTCTACACAGGTTTAGCTTTCATGGAAGGTGTGCATAGAGGGAAACCTGATGCTCTTAGAACAAATGGGACTAAAATGCAATTATTTTTACATTTAAGCAGAACTTAACATCTACTATCAAATATAGAAGCGTTGCTGTTTAGGTATTGCTTCCTTCAGCAGGACCAGACGAGCTGAAAATCATAGCATCCATCCCAGTTCTCCTGTGTTTAAGCAGGTGTCTATGAGACCGTCTCTTTATTAATAAACCAGAGGCAGAACTCGACTGTGCAACATGTCGTCAACCCCCAAAAAAATAACAGATGGTAAATTCATCAAGGACTGGGATAAAACTTAGAAATGGAAAGTCCTGGAGTGGCAGAGACCAAAATGAAGCTTAAATCTTGATCCCAGTAAGAGGCTGTTTGTTTACTGAAAACAGGTTGTTTACTTCTGACAGAGCTCTGAGTTGAGGAGTGAAGAAAGCTTTTAAACAGATGTCAGACAGTGCACGGTAAAAGAGTTAAAGTTGGCAGAACTTGATGTTAAACAAACAACCTTCAGCAGATCTTTAAGTTTTGGACCTTAACTTAATCATTTAAGTTTTGCTTATAAGTTTACCAACCATTGAATTCTTTCGTACTGCAATTTGGGTTTTTTCTTCCAACGTGTGTGAAAGTAGTGGTCCCTTAGAAAAGGCAACAATTAAACTGAAAATCTTCTTACTTAAAAATCCTACTTTTTAATTTTTTAACAACTGAATGGGGAAATTTGTAATCAACATGTTAGGGGAAGTGGCGGCCTAGTGGTTAGGGCATAGGGCGTTGAATCCTGAGATTGGGAGTTTGATCCCCACTCCCCCAGACTGCCACTCTGGGTCCCTGAGCAAGACCCTTAACCCTGGGTGCCGCACAATGGCAGCCTACTGCTCCCCAAGGGGAGGGGTTAAATGTAGAGATAAATTTCTCCAATGTGAGATCAATAATGTTCAATTTATTATTTATTATTATTTATTTACCTAACACCTACTACTTTTATTAACGGTAACAGTCTACTGTAAGTGAGAACCCTTTGACCCCTATGGTTAACGCTCTCCTCGCTAACCTTTAGGCCAATCCATGGCAGTTGCAATTCCTGATTAGTGGTAATTTACCAGAGGTTAACTTTAAACTCAAATAACAATTAATTAAGGTTTTATCTTGGTTGTACAGAGCATACAATGTTATTTAAAAATGGCAGAATCTCTTAGCAACAATTTGTGCTGTTAAAGTTGAAAATTAATTTTCTAAAAGAAAACTTGAGAATTAGGTTTCCTCTAATTTTTACAAGAAAAATATGAAAACTAGCTAAACTTTTAACTTTTTTAAAATAACTAACAGCTTTAAGAGATATATACTTGCAATTTACTTGATAAAGGGAAAGATTACAACTACCTTGGTTTTCTGAGATGACTTAAATTATTGCTCCTATATTCAACACAAGGTTTTTCAAGTTTTAAATAGTTTTTCTGTCGGGGAAAACAAAGGTTTAGTTGTTTTATTTTACAGTGTATATGTGCTAAGAATTTAATTAAAGGCAGCTTTTAGGGGTAACACACTCCCAGTGTTTTCCTCAGTTATAAATTTTTATTTTGTTTAAAGAAAGTAAAGAAAAAACTATTGTAATGTGACTGTAACTTATGTTAAACATCATCAGATTTATTTTTTTGACTCAAAAACAAGTTCTTATGACTCTGCCCCTCTGTTCTTCAGTCCATCTTGTTGGTGGGGGGTGTGGCGCTTGCCTGTCTGGCTCTGGACCTCATTTTTCTGCTCATCTACTCCATTTGCCTCTGCTGCCGGCGGAGTAAAAACGCAGATCAGCCCAACGCCGACTGCTGCTGCACAGCCTGGTGCGTCATCATTGCCACCCTTGTGTGCAGGTGAGTGGAAACGCACAACTATTCTGGACGATTTAGGCAAGGTTTCAATCTGCCAGTATAATTGGCTTTCTTTATTGCATTACAAGAGGTTGTATGGATATCATTTGTGTGCAGTAAACTTGCTTTATATATGACTACCTTCATATTTTCTGCTTTAGCAGTATTTATATGTCATGTAGAGAGGTGTGACAATTTCCCATCTGGTCGTGTTTTCTGTCCTTGAACACGGCGTTGGTTTCCTGTTTTGCTCCTCCTGTTGATGGGCCTCCAGAGAGCATCACAGTTGATTCAGAGCAGCACAAAGAGCTCAGGGAACCGATGAGAACAAGAACTGCATCACAATCGCTACATCCCTGCGCACGTTTACCCACGCACAAATGTTTCGACCAAAGTAGGAAGGGAAAAAAAGGAAGTTGAAGAGATCCGTTTAGTTTGTGCTTGAAATGATTGTTTTGATTTTTGCTCTTTTTTTCAAATAAAGAAATGTTTCCTCTAGGTTTATATAACAGTAGGTCATTTACTTAGTTTTTTTGCTGTTTTTTTGTTCCGGCAAAATGTGGGAGAAAACTTTTATGCTTTGCAAAACTATTTGTATCAGTTGCTGTTTTCTCCAGTGGGTGGAAAGTAGTATTTATGTTTTAGACTTGCATATACTTAGTTTTTTTTTTTTTTCGTATGCACAGTTGATACAAAACGAAATTTTATTGCATACAGATTGAGATTACAGTGTAATTAGATTGCAGGTGGAGTAAGATAAACATTGCAGAAGTGGTCAGAATGTACACAATGTAGGAGAAAAAAGAAAACGGTTTAAATAATGGTGCAAACAGGCAATAATACGAAAAAGTTTAATGCGGTGCAAGATGCATTGAGAAAATTTAGTTGTCTTATTTAAAAGGATTATAAAAGTTCAGGGTGGTGGTGGTGCAAAATAATTTTTTGGAGGTTTTCTGCAACCATCCCCTCCAAAACCTTTCTTCCTTCCACCCAAAATGAGACCACTGACCCAGGCCTTTGGTGCGGCTTATAAACTAAGTGAGAAAGAAAATCAAAGAGGGGTAACGGGGATTTCTAGAAAGCACAGTTACAACTAATACCCTTTTCTCTTTTCTTCTAAAAGTGTTACTCACCCCATGTGTAAACATAACCCCACCATCAAACAGATTTTGAAAAAAAGCCACTAAGATGAGCAGTGGGGGTATGATTAGGTAAAGTGAAAGTGGCAGCTGGCTTAGCCTAGCCTAACCTGGTGTAGTTTAGCATGGAGAGTAGAGATACACCAATACATCGACCGGGCGATATTACTGACTGATAATGGCACATTTAATATATTGCCCATATGTGATAATGTTTAATGATTCATTAGTTCATTCAGCAGCCATGCTTTAAGATCAAGTGAAGCACATGCTTTGCCGCTCCCTTCATCTGCTATTTATTAGTGTTTTCTATTATTGGTTAAATGTTTTATTTTGGTGAAATTCAGACCTGTGTGAAATTAGCTGTAATTCTGTTTTACCATGTAAATGGAAGAAGAAAGGAAGCAATATTGGCTTTTAGAATCAGCCTAAAAATATCCACAATGTTTCAGCGTTTAGTTGGAATGATGTCAAAAAAATCGGTATTGGCCTTAAAAAAGAAAACTCTTTCAGTCGATCTCTGGTGAATATTGAGCAGAGTGGTGCTGGTACCAATGCCACTGGCTGATCTTTTTCACTCTCCTCATCACAGAAGGTTATTTTAGGGTTGGTGGATCCCATTGGACCAAAGCTTTATCAGTTTTGGGTGCTTGCTTCGAGGCATTGACTTAGCGATGCCAACAACCGGAGCTGCAGAGTCAGTGGAGGAAAGGATGACTCGTTACAATCGCCTGTATCTGAGTGAGTTGTGTTTAAACCTAAATAATAATAATAAAAGATTGGGTTAACACGTACCGTTGAAACCCAAAGGAAAGCTGAACCGCACTAATTATTGCCAACCACTTAAAGCAGAACTGAGAAAGACAACTATTGCAGATCTAAAAATCTCACATAAAATTAAAAAACAAACTTGCTTAAAAATGTCAGTCCAATGATCCAGTATTTTGGGGTGAGTTTCAACTTAAGAAGTGTTCCAATCCATTTAAAATGTTAACATCCTGCATGAACAACCTGGGTGTTTTGGGAAGACCAGCAAACATTAGTACATAAGTAAAGGAAAACGGAGCCATATTCTTGCAATTTTAGGGGTTAAAACCCAAAGTTTGACATTCATTTTATTCAACCTCCTTTACTATGCTGCTTTTAAGTAAAATCCAATCTGAATCTGTTTTCAGAAACTCCCTAGAGTCGTAGCATAATCAAAATGTAGAAAATGTGAAGCATGCATGTTTGAAAGAGGGTGTTTATTAATCTAACTCAAAATTAAGCCACCAACAAATGTATCTAAACTAAATGGGTCCTTTTCTGTTCCTGTACCTTCAGAAATTGTTGCCCCTGTAGCTGCCTGAGCTCTTTGAGGTCTGTCAGCCTATCAGAGCTAATCTGCTGCCTCAGTGCTGCCTTTGTCGGCTGCAGCGTGGGGTTCTGGGCCATTGCTGGTCCATTCCTCTGTGTTTCCATGGTTCTCTATAGGGTCTTTCTGCTAAGGCTGAAAGGAGTCCGTTGACAGGGGCCCGAATCGACGGGGTTAAAACGGAGTTCACACGCCTCCCGCACTGCCAGGCTGTCCCCCGCTCCTGGGTTCCTCTCAGTCTCCCCTCTGTGTCTCCGTTCTTTTACCCAATCCCTCCTCCTCACTAGCCTGTCTTCTCTTTTCCTTTTTGTTTCCCATCAGTGCTGGCATAGCTGTCGGTTTCTATGGGAATGGTGAGACTTGTGATGGAGTGAACCGGCTGACGTATTCCCTCCGCCACGCCAATCGCACAATCACTGGAGTTCAAAAGCTGGTGAGACCACAAACACAGTCATATGGATGTGTCCGATAATTCAACACTCTTCTACTCGGAGTCTCCCTTGTTTCATTACAACGTTGCAGTAAAGCTTCCCTGAATAATGGCCTGCATGCCCATTTGTTTACTCTAGGTGTATGATAGTACATCGTCGTTGAACCAGACGGTGGACAACAGTCTGCAGCAGCTTGAGATCCAGTATGCTCAGCATGCAGACTACCTCTCTATCATCCAAAAGCTGCAGGGCCAGCTGGATGAGCTGGTTAGACAGATGGTCGAGATTCCTTTCTGGGACAACAACCTCATTTCCCTGGACGATTTGTCCATCACCATTGAGCTTTATGACTGGTACAGGTAAGACTGAAATGGTGCATTTCAACTATCAGCAGAAGGAAGAAAAATATCTTTTTATTATTGGACTCAATGTGCAGACACAATGAAACTCTAAAGCCCAGCCCTGCAGAGATTTCATTCTCATCTCATTGTTCCACTGTTGTTGAGAGCTTTGGTGATACGGCGCCGAGTGGCTGTACTCTAATAAAGACATTATGCGGAGCGCAGATCATAAGAAATGACTTCAGCACATCATTAGGCAGCATTAAGTTTGCATTGAGCTTAAAGGGTTTCTAAGAAAGAATGACTCTAATGGAAATCTGGCCAGACTCCCGTAAACATGATGCCAAAAGTATGCAAGCTACTCCACACATTGTTTTTAATAAAGCATAAAGGGTTTCTTTATAAATAGCAAGATTTAGGTGGGTTATGTAAGAGTTCCAGCTGAGAGTTCAACAATTCCCTTTTCTTCCCCAACAGATTGTGTGTGGGATTGTTTCATTTACTCGTATTAGCCCTAAAACAAGTCAACTCATTCCTCTCTTATCACTGGGGCACTATTTTAACCGCAGTACAATTTAAGTGTATCTAGATAACTGAGAATGATTGCAGTTAGTATTAGTGCTCAGAGGGGATACGTCTTTTAGCTTTAACAACTGAAAGAGGGTTGTTTATGCTCCCTAAACCAAACCCATAGGATCTACTAGCTGTGTGGCATTTAGATGTTTACTTCTTTAGGGTTTTTGGTACATCAATAACTCCAGATAATTAGGTTAGTAACTCTATGTGCTTCTAAAGAAACTGTGGAGATTAGCTTCCCTGTCCAAGTGTGGCTCTCTAATTAATTCAGTTAAAGCTGATTACTCCTACAGACTCATCGAACATGAATATAAATGCCAGTTAAGGAATTTATCCTAATGCGTTCAAAAGCCACATATTGGTAAGAGACCGGTCCTTTATGTGAATTGATTTAGCTCCTGTCTTAATGTTTCCCCAAAAAGATTCATATGATGTTTTTTTTTTTTATGGACTGGTATAATTCTAACTGAAAACATAAATAATTCTTATTGAGAATTGGCTTTTTATGCTGCAATGATTTGAAGCTCATCTCAGCGGTATAATAATAAAATGGGTTTTGTGGTTTTTATTTATTTCTCCACAGGTGGCTGGGCTACATCACACTGCTGCTCTTCGACATCCTGATCTGCCTTCTTGTCCTGTTTGGCCTCATTCGCAACTCAAAGGGAATTCTTATCGCGTGAGTGCCGTCACTTGATCACCATTCCCCGTCATGATTGAACACGTTCCCAAGATGTCATAAAACTCTTAGTTGGAGCAGGAATTATCTGCCTCCTTCTGATAAATTATTCCTCACTGTCAAGGATTTCCTTTAAAATAGAAAAACTTACTTAGCTCAGCAGTCATTTTAGTCAATTATTCCATTTAACATTCTAGACTAATTAACGTAAATTTAATTTTTTTTTCTTTACATCAAGTTTAAATCCAGACATCTTTTTTTAACTTTGCAGCATTAAGCACAGAGGGCAGAAATCAGCTGATATTTAAACATCAAAATCCCCAAATTTTTCAATCTAAAAAGGAAACTTATTGACACACAGGAAACCCTACTAATTATTTTGGATCTAAATCGAAATCTAGCAGTAAATCTTATTGGTTGAAAATGATTTGCAATATATTTAAGTTAATATTTCCACAAATGCAACAGAATTATGTTATTATTTACCTCACTAATGTCCATGTAAGAAAATATTTTAGAATGATCTTTTAATTGCAGCTTTTATGTTGGAATAGCCCTGAGTCTGTTCAGTAATTAGACCAACTTTATTATGTCAAGCCTCTCTTTTTGTGAGTGTACCTCTCATTACCATAGTTCATGGTCTAATGCTGCTGGTGAAGCACACTCCTGACCTCCTCTTGTTTCCCACAGGGTGTGCTTGTTCGGCGTAGTGGCTCTTATAATCAGCTGGGTCTCCCTGGGGCTGGAATTAGCTGTCTCTGCAGTAAGTGTCTGCAGGGTATGATCTTGTTTACCTGGTGGATCTGCTCTGTTTAACACAGTTTTTTCTGTTAGCGCTCTGATAGAGTCTAATGTTAAACCTGTATATTTTAGGCAACTCTGTAATATACAGTATATGCTTTTAAAGTCAGAATAAATGCATGTTACACCAATGCTGTGTTTTTTTTTTTGTGTTTATTTTGTTTTGGGTTTTGTTGCTATGAACACCTATGTTCATGGTTTGGGTCACTTAGCTTTCTCCAGAAATCTTGTAGACTTAATAACATTGATTAAGAGCTGCAATGCAAGCTGTTATTAGCGCTCTAGGCTTAATTTTGGAAGGAGTAGATGTAAGATTCTTTGTGGAAAATATTAATGGCTGAAATGCAGAGCAGATCCACATGAGTCCAGATGTTTGCCTCATTTCCCTAGTTTTAAAGTTTAGTTTTTTTTCTTTCTCTTTCCTCCTCTCCAGCTAATTCAGTTTATATTCCTCCTTACAACAAGTGTTACTGAGGTTGATTGTTTGCTAATTTTAGCTCTTTTTTTTCTTTTCTTTTAGAGTTCAAGTGACTTCTGCTTTGCTCCTGATACATATGTTACCACAGTGGTGGATCAGTATGGGGTCATCGATAAAGGTAGGATGCTTTCCTGTTACTTTCAAAAAACACAGGATGCAGTCATATGTTAAAGCGAGTAAAGCGGCCCATTAAATGCTTAGTTATGAATTCCTCTGATCTTTTCTCATCTCAATGCTGTGATTGTTGTGTGACAGTAAGACAGAAAAGCCCCTAAAAATATCTGCAACATCTGCAGTAAGGTCAGGAGGGCAGTGGGCCGTCTAAATTAACACAAAGGCCTCTCTAACACATCGCAGCGTAGCCATTTCCCCAAACCGTTGCATGACAGGACGCATGTCACAGGATAGCAAAACCAGCCTGGGGCTTTCTTGTGTTTTTGTATGAAGGAGATAAGAGCAGGGAAGCAGAGGATCAAAGACGGCATGTTTCCCTTGGCGACAGAAATGCTGCTTTAAACTACAGCTTCCATTGAGAAGCCTGTTTAATGTCACTTCTCGGCATCGGCTCGTCTAAATGAGCCTCTTCCTGCTCTCTCCTGAAACAAAATAGCAGCTGAATGCAAGCAAACAGAAATGCTCTGTATTCACTGATCTGGATTTAAAAAAAGTTCACTGCCTAAAGGGTGATGCAGTTAATAAAGCATGATTGATTTCAATGCCATTTTTACTGTACTCGTCATCAGAGAGAAATCTCTTCTAGGTTCAATTGCAGTTTCTTGACTAGATCTTTCAGCATATTTGAATTTTCCAATGTTTTGAATGAATTTAGCCAAACAAAACAGTAAGGAAAGTGGTGCAGAATTTTTCTCTACATTCTTCTTTTATACTCTTTAAACGCTTGGATATTTTTCCATTGCCTTTGTCAGTTTTAATCAAAAACACTTCTCTGCAGTACGATTCCTTTGCTTCGGTGTTAGACTGGTTCCTGCTGTTTCAACATATATTTAAACATTTTAGTTCTGGAGTGCTTGCCTTACTGCTACTACAACTGTTTAATAAACTGTTTTGGGCACCCTTCCAGTGTTCTTAATGTATAAAATGGCATACCTTGCAAACAAATTCACTAGTAAAGTGTAATATGTGTTGATAAACTAAGGCAGACACAAGAGTCAGTTTTTCAGTAGGGAGAGACGATATAACACGTTTTTCATTGGATCCGAGCTGCTTGTCATCGACATGGATAAATATGATGTAAATCACACAAACGAACACTTCCACTTTAGAAACACTACCATTGCACTTGTGTACGTTTATGAGAAGTCACTACAGTTGTACTAACGGTTTGCGTTACTGCTTTATGAATATTTGAGAACTAATCAGATGGAAAAACTAACAGTTTCTCCTGTTTGACAAGTTTGGCATGAAACATGTAGGCACCCTTATATTATGGTGTAATCAAGCTGTACTAATTAGGAAAGACTAACAATGGAGATGAGTTTTCCCACTTTGTTCATAAAATCTGGTTAAAGAAGAAGAAAAATGTTCTTTACTTACCTATTAACAGACATATCAATATTTAACTGATGGGGAAAACACATCAATCATCAAAGCACAGCCTAATGTAGCTGGAAATACAAGCAAAACAAAGAGCAGAAGTTATCTATAAACAAAGAAGCAATGTTTGCATTGTTTTTGTTTCCCTTTTTTTATGAGAGAAATTTGAATTTTAGCAAAAGGACCCCCAACAGTTCTTTATATTACAAAAAGAAGAAGCTGCAGCCATTGAATGGTAAAGCATGTTTATTGATCTATTAATAAACCATTATCAATAAAATGAATGCCATGTAAATATAGATTTTTAACAGTGTCTCTTCTGTGATTATTACCAAGTAAATTGCCCAGTTAGTGGAGGTTTGTAAAGCCAAGATTTTGTTTAATTCACAGCAAACACCCACGAAAACCCTGTTTTAAGACAGTAGAAATATTGCCCCCAGCTCCGCCTTAGCATCAGCTGGACGCTTGGTAATTTTTCAGCTCAAAGATGGGTCACAACAAAAACATTTTGGCTGTGTCCGAAAGTCCGCCCTCACCCCTTGATCCCACAATCACTGTATAGAGCTGGAACTATAGAGTGGACTTTATAGTAAACTCAGTTACCATTCGGACAGATGATCACTACCTTTCGCTCCCCTATGGTCACATAATTCCACCTCCCAGCATGGTGTCTGTGCCATCTTTATTTGCCACCGCTGTCGGGTAACGACGGCCGTAGCTGACAGCGGGACGCTGTGACAACAAATCCCCTGATGCTTCATGAGTAGGACTCTCCTCGCAAAGCATGCTGGGATATATCTTCTCGTCTATTGACCATGGATGACCACTACTTTTTAAGGTGCATGGAAATTTTGAGTTTACTTTTGCATCCACTAGACGTTCAGACACTCATCTAAAATGGCGTAACCACTATATGGTGGTCAGGGCCGACGTTTGGACACAGCCAAGATGTTTTTGTTGTGACCCATCTGTGAGCTGAAAATTTACCAAAAGTCCAGCTCATTCTAAGTCAGAGCTGGGGGCAATATTTCAGCTGTCTTAAAACAGGGTTTTTCGTGGGTCATTAACAGTCATTAAATGATTATTATTTTAATTAAGGCATTAATTAGCAATAAAAATCATTAAATGTGATTATCCTGGCATTAAAAAGGCTTTATTTAATAATAAAAAAAACATTAATAAAAAAAATTTCGTCAGATATAACAGGTATAATTGGTTCCATGTGTTTGCGCGGAACTGCCTCCGGCTGATCGTAAAGCCATATGTTCGGAAACGAAGCTTAAGGCGGAAAAAAATCTAGAGAATGGGAAAATGCAAATTTAAACAAAAGTGTCTGGAAAACAAGGAATTCTGTCTGTCGACGGCAAAGATGGTGGATTGTGCAGTGTTTTTTATTTAGTTATATATATATATATATATATATATATATATATATATATATATATATATATATATACTATATGAGAGTCATGGGTACTTGTTACAGGCATTCAAATAATTTCTAAGAGCATTAGAAAGCATTAAATTAGAATTACTCATTCCTGTATTAACCCTGTAAAAAGACTAACTTTATTTTGTAAGCCTTGGAATTGTGCATTCCTTTGCATTGGAGCCATTTATTTTTTTTTTCACTGGATTGCTCTATGCTCCATTATAGATGTGTTAATGTGCTGCAAACCGCTTGTTTCATCATCAGCAGAGCCGTTTCCAAGCTAAAACTCTTGTAGTGGAGAATATCTCATCTTTCAATACAGTGGGGAACTAAACTCTTCCAAATAGTAATGCTTGTGAGCTGGACCTCCAGAGACATGCGCCTGTTTTGTTCTTTCCTGTTTCGGAACGCTCCACTGGTGTTGAAAGAGACGGAGAACAAATCTGCTGACTCAGCAGTGAGTTTAAATGTCACTAACGCTGTGTGTCAGTCCGGTGGCGGTGCTGTACTCACAGCTTGGATCCGCGCACACGGCTTTGCTGCAGAACCTCTGAGTCGTACAGAAAGGGTTTCTCATCAAGGAAATAGGCGCTGATCACAAGTGAAAGTCTTAACCTCGAATAATTATAATCCTCTTTGGTTTAATTTGCGCTCAAAGCAGAACCCAGGCTCAGTCTTGTAACACAGCAATAAGAACATGGATGATGTAAGAGGTTTTGGGGGTTGTTTGCAGTTAGAACGATTACACCTGCCCCCCCCCCCCACCCCCCTCCCTTTCTGGGTTTGTGCTCTATATTGGTTTCAAAGTGTCCAGGGTTTATTTTAGGTTCTGCAGGTTTATCAATCGTTTGGACGATTCCTCAGAGTGTAGGATTGCCTGAGTCATCGTGATGTTCTGCAAGCTGCAACATGTCAGAAGGAATTAAAGATGCACAACTAGATAGAACACAATGGAAGAGGCTGTCTGTCTGTCGGGAAAACTGTAGAGACCCAAATCGGAACTGAGCTCTTTTCTCTGGTGAAAAAATATTGACAGGTCAGGTAAATGTTCAGCCCTCAACCAACATATGGAAATCCAATAGAAGTGGGAATGTATTTATTGAAATAAATACAACATATTTTAATCGACTGACCAATAATTAGGAAGTGAACTGATGATTGTTTGCTTATTTTTTAGGGTAAATCTGTTCTTTCCTGATCTGTTTTTGCTTTTTTGTCTCTCTTCCTCCTCGTCGGCTCTCAGACATCCTCCAGTACTACCTTAGTTGCGGTTCGGAGCAAACCAACCCCTTCCAGCAGGTTAGTTGGAATTGCATTTTACACATATAACCTTCCTTTTTTCTGAAATATTCACTCCAAGTGTTTACAACTTAAATCTAATGGATAAAATCTAACAGGCTCTCTTTGATTGCTCCAAAACAGCGATTGCTCCTTTCCCTCGCTGCTGTGCAATATTCTCCTTTTCTCAGGGAGTTAAACTGATGCACAGCAGCATGAGTCACCTGTTGGCATTGAGTTTATGCAAATTACATTCATTAGATCATTTGATCATTTGCACACAGGTACAATCGGTAAAGATCTTCAACAAACTTTGATTAATTTATACCATTTTTCTTTAGTTATAGTTTATAAGATCAAAAAGAAAAATAACAAGCATGATTTATTGGAACATTTTATTGGTCTTCATTCAGTGTTGCATTGTAATCTGATACTCAGATCTGTAGGTTGAAATGTCTTGTTCAGGGCAGCATCCACATGTGTTGGAGGTCAACCTGGAATCAAACCCAAAATCTCAAAATCACTACATACAGGTGCTGGTCATAAAATTAGAATATCATGAAAAAGTAGATTGATTTCAGTAATTCCATTTAAAAAGTGAAACTTGTATATTATATTCATACATTATATACAAACTCATATATTTCAGATGTTTATTTTGTTTAATTTTGATGATTACAAATGACAACAAATGAAAATCTCAAATTCATCATATCAGAAAATTAGAATATTGTGAAAAGGTTCAAAATTGATGGCCCCTGGTGCCACACTCTAATCAGCTAATTAACTCAAACCACCTGCAAAAGCCTTTAAATGGTCTTTCAGTCTAGTTCTATAGGCTACACAATCATGGGGAAGACTGCTGACTTGACAGTTGTCCAAAAGACGACCATCGACACCTTGCACAAGGAGGGCAAGACACAAAAGGTCATCGCTAAAGAGGCTGGCTGTTCACAGAGCTCAGTGTCCAAGCACATTAATAGAGAGGCGAAGGGAAGGAAAAGATGTGGTCGAAAAAAGTGTACAAGCAAGAGAGATAACCGCACCCTGGAGAGGATTGTGAAACAAAACCCATTCAAAAATGTGGGGGAGATTCACAAAGAGTGGACTGCAGCTGGAGTGAGTGCTTCAAGAACCACCACACACAGACGTATGAAAGACATGGGTTTCTGCTGTCGCATTCCTTGTGTCAAGCCACTCTTGAACCACAGATAGCGTCAGAAGCGTCTTGCCTGGGCTAAAGAGAAACAGGACTGGACTGCTGGTGAGTGGTCCAAAGTCATGTTCTCTGATGAAAGTAAATTTTGCATTTCCTTTGGAAATCAAGGTCCCAGAGTCTGGAGGAAAAGAAGAGAGGCACTTCATCCACGTTGCTTGAAGTCCAGTGTAAAGTTTCCACAGTCAGTGATGGTTTGGGGTGCCATGTCATCTGCTGGTGTTGGTCCATTGTGTTTTCTGAGGTCCAGGGTCAACGCAGCCACATACCAGGAAGTTTTAGAGCACTTCATGCTTCCTGCAGCTGACCAACTTTTTGGAGATGCAGATTTCATTTTCCAACAGGACTTGGCACCTGCACACAGTGCCAAAGCTACCAGTACCTGGTTGAAGGACCATGGTATCCCTGTTCTTAATTGGCCAGCAAACTCTCCTGACCTTAACCCCATAGAAAATCTATGGGGTATTGTGAAGAAGAAGATGCAATACACCAGACCCAACAATTCAGAAGAGCTAAAAGCCACTATTAGAGCAACCTGGGCTATCATAACACCTGAGCAGTGCCACAGACTGATCGACTCCATGCCACGCCGCATTGCTGCAGTAATACAGGCCAAAGGAGGCCCAACTAAATACTGAGTGCTGTACATGCTCATACTTTTCATGTTCATACTTTTCAGTTGGCCAACATTTCTATAAATCCTTTGTTTTTATTGGTCTTCAGTAATATTCTAATTTTCTGATATGATGAATTTGAGATTTTCATTTGTTGTCATTTGTAATCATCAAAATTAAACAAAATAAACATCTGAAATATATGAGTTTGTATGTAATGTATGAATATAATATACAAGTTTCACTTTTTAAATGGAATTACTGAAATCAATCTACTTTTTCATGATATTCTAATTTTATGACCAGCACCTGTACACTGTTCAGAATATAAATTTAACATAAAAGCCTCGGAGAGCTTGATGTAGAGTTTCCATGGCGTGCCTCGCCAGCCGTGAGGCCAGCCGCTGGCAGTCGAGCTAAACCTGATGACTGTTTACAAAAGAGAAGAGAAGGTGGTAGAGGAGACTTTCCCGTCAAGCTGTTTTTACTAAAATTGTTTTCATTTTTTTGTTTTTTTACAGACAAAAGAATAAGAACAATTGTCTTTCTTGAAGCATGAAAAATTATCTTATATGTAACTAAAAAAACATTCAAGAAGTTTGATTTTTTAAAAGGAGCTATAAAACAAAGAGGTGACTGAAGACTTTGCCACGTGTCTTTAGAATATCTCTGTTGGCTCTACCTTTTATATTTTCAGTAAACATTAATAAATGAAAACCTTGAGTGCTTATGTAAAGGCCCTCTATTGTTGGTACCACTGAGTGTTCATATATAGAGTATAGATGCTTTTCAGCTTTTATCTATAAAACCTTTTTTATAACCAAACAAAAAACAGCTACAGGTTCCATGTGATCATTTTAAGCACTGATAAAACATTTAACTGCACTGTTACTAATTTTTTTCCTTTTTTTCTTCTTCTTTTTTTAGAGGCTTTCTGGAAGCCATAAAGCATTAGTAGAGATGCAAGACGATGTGTCAGAGCTGCTTCGCTCTGCCACCAGAGAATACAAACAGACAAAGGTATGAGAGGCTGAAACTGCTGAATATCTCAGTGAACTGGAGCGAACTGCACCTGTTTAACAAAAAGATTAGCTGACGGACCACCTGGAAGCTGCATTCTGTTAAGGCTTTCTCTGGTCAACAGCGCTATCCTCCATCAGGGGTTTTTAGGACATGATGGAGGCATACATGAGAGCAGAGATCAGGAAAAGAGGAAGGCATGTTTCTCTCCTTCACATATAGACACAGTCTTAAGCTGCAGTTGTACTATTTTATATAACTGATGTGTTTTTAGTTAAAGATAAAATGTTGACTGGTGGAAAAATGGAGGCTGCCTGTCAAAATGATTACAAGTTAAAATCTGCTTCCCTGTTCTTTGCTGTATATTAATGAAAGGCTGGTTCCTGATCAGTTTATTTTTGAATAAAATAATCAATAAATGAATCGCTTCCAATAGAGAATTGCTGCTTCGCTGCTCCTTATCCTCAGTGTTTGAACTTTAAGAACAGAATTACTCTGATTTTTTTTTCTTGTCTCTGAGCATTTCTCCTCTTGTTGGTCTTTCAGCTGTTCAGCTGTGTTTTCCTTCACTTCTCTCCAGGAAAGTCTGGAGGAGATTCAGGGGATTCTAAACACCACAGAGATCAGCCTTCATCAGCTCACTGCACTGGTGGACTGCCGCAGCCTGCACATGGTGAGCAGAGACTATAGACCATAAACCGAGACCCGCATATGGGTTTTTTTTTTCCATTTACTTTCCTGTATGGAAGCATGCCCTTACGGAAGAGGATTAGGGCCACTGAAAAAAAAAAAGTTAACTAATTTTTACATTTTATTTCAGTTTAATATGGGAAGAAAGTCAGAATTCTGACTTTTTTCTCAGAATTCTGACAGCTAACAAACATGTTAGCATCAAGCCGTATCCATGTCTGTTTTAGAGACTAGCTCTCTTGTTTTAATGACCTTCTGCTCCTCCATTAATGAGGGGACCCCTCGGGCACGTACAAACCACTCACATCTTTGTCAGTGAAGCTGAGTGCTCCACATCTCTTCCTTCATGGTGCCATCTACATTAAGGTCCAAAATTCTGAGATTAAAGTCAGAATTCTGAGAAAAAAAGTCAGAATTCTGACTTTTTTTTCCATGTTAAACTGAAATAAAATTTGAAAATCAGTTAACTTTTTTTTTTTTTTCAGTGGCCCTAATCCTCTTCCATGTGCCCTTTATGATTTTCAAGGGTAGACATTATTTGTATGCCTATTTGCAGTTCAAACCTATTTTTTTTATCTGCTTTATTTTTTTCAAGTAAAGCGTTCTGGTTTTTGAAAAAAGGCTACATTTGTTTCACAGGATTACGTTCAGGGCATGACTGGACTGTGCTATGATGGTCTGGAAGGCCTCATCTACCTCCTGTTCTTCTCCTTTGTGACGGCCCTCCTGTTCACCTCCATCGTCTGCAGCGTGCCTCACACCTGGAGAGGGAAACGGTAAGATGTCCTCCATCTTCGTGAAGAGCAATAGCTCCATGAATGTAGCCGTGCAAAAGCTTTCATGCCAAGTTTATGTTCTGAACGGTATATAGGGTGATGCATAATTCAAACCTTTTAACTATTTATGTTTTTAAAGGAAAAAAAATTTACTGTACTCAAAATGATCTGAGAACAAAAATCCATCAAGCCCAGGAGGTTCCATCTGCTCTCACAGCTGGCTTACCCCGCCTAATTGGGACACGTTGCCCAAAATCTATCAGTTACCAACAGATCCAAACTATTTTCAGAAGCAGAACTTTTAACATCATTCTCATTTCTTTCTAATGTCAGCAGCAGGATAATGACTCCAGAGTTGCTACTTGGAAAGTAGTTTTAGCTTCCCCACATAATTAGCTTATTGCTCTTTATCATGTATTGTAGAGGGGGTGGGCATGTTTATCAGATTTATCTCAGCTGGTGTTTCCTGACAAGAAGCAAATTATTTCTCTTTACCAGACTGTTGTTTCCAGTGTTCCCCGCTAAGCTTGTTCGGCAGTGCAGTCATAATGACACATGCCAGCTAATTATTTCCCCCCATCTGGAATAGTAGAGAGTTATGACCAGGATTTACTCTCTGCAAGCAAGAAAAACAGTTGTGAAGCTTTTTAGACATAGATATGCTGTTGGTTATCTCCTGCTAACATGCATGTGGGAACAATTTCAGAGGAGAGCGTACAAACTGATCCTATGAGGTCATAACTGAGGTAAGGTGGGAATCAAACGGAAGTGGGCATGACCTCTAGAGGGAGACATTCACCATGTTATTTTGGTAAACGTTTGGATGCTTCATTTGTTCAAAGTAGCTGTTTGTTTGTTGAAGAAATCCTTTCTTCATGTAAAATGTGTGCTGCTACAAAGTAAAATTTTTTTTTTTCAGTTGAAAATGAATAAATGTCCTTGTTTTTTTCCACATTGTTGTGTCTTAATTGATTAAACTAGACGATTTGTTGTTTTCTTCAGCCTAAAAAGGATCAAAATCATAGAAAATGAAAGGAACAATGTGACTGTGTGGCAAGTTTATGCTCATTATCATTGAGGTAGATCAGAGGCGCCTCCTGGTGGTTGTTTTAACAAACTTTTATTTGCAGGAACGACGACGACAGTGAAGATGAGTCTCTGAGCCCCGGTGGGAGGCAGAACCCCGACGGCCTGTACCGGGTCCACATGCCCAGCCTGTACAGCTGTGGCAGCAGCTATGGGAGCGAGACGTCCATTCCTGCCACGGCCCACACTGTCAGCAACGCGCCCGTCACAGAATACATGTAAGATGTTTACTTCACAAGAAGAGACAGAGTGAAAGCAGAAGTGGTAGAAAATATGTATGCATGTCATGTTCTCGACTCCGCTCCTTAAGGTTTTGGGTTTTTTCTAATTCCTGTTGTCGGGAAGAAGTTTATAGGACCCTGGAGAGAATCTTACTCTCCCAAAGTCTACAGATGCAGCTGTTTCTCTCCAGCTGTGTTGGTTGTGAAACCCAAAGCTCTGTGCTAATGAAACTGGGGGAGGGGTTTATCACTTTCTGGCTGGATGGCAGCAAAAGTTTAGTCTATGTACTTTAAAACTCACATCAGCAAATATAAGGTGGCTCTCAGAAGTTCACACACCTGATGTTTGGTGATGTAATATTGTGGGAATTAATAATAATAATAAAATATATATATATATATATATATATATATATATATATATATATATATATATATATATATATATATATATATATATATATATATATATATATATATATATATATTTAAATGGTAGAATTTGTCGCCCTAAACTGGGTTAAACTTTTAAAATCTAAGGTTTTTCTGCAGAACTGATGAAAATACTAGATTAAACTAGTTAGAAGGATAACAGCATTGAAGGAACTGCAGGGAGATCCAACAAGCTCTGTTTTTTTTTCTGCCGGTGAAAAACAGATTTGTGTTTTTCACCAGTTTGTTTTTTCACCAATATGTGTATTTTGTGTACTTCGCTTCCCAACTAAAGTTTAGGCTGCGAGAAAATATCTTGGTTTCATATCCAAAACCTTAATCAGTCTGGAAGAGGCCTTCATATAAGCTTCACCCAAATGTACAACAAATTGGTTTAGTTAGTGTAAAATGGCCACTTCTATTTCAATCTAAGTTTAACCTTGGAGTTTAGAAATAATTTCCTCAAGCAGAGATCCTTTGCAACGTGGTCAAACATGACCAAGTCATAATCTGGGATGTTATCAAAACAAAGTATTAATTTATAAGTACCTGTACATGCTAATTATTACATCCATTTTAAAGATTTATTTTTTACAGTTATGTGGGATCTTGTGTGAATTTTACAGGATTAATGTTGCATATCATCACTGACAGGAAATAACCTCCTATCTACAATTTTAGTCATTTTGGTTTTCGTGTTAAAATCTACCATATTAATCTTTTCACGTGCTTGAGGTTTTTTTTATACATTTCCTGTGAAAGTATCATATTTTTCTTTGACCAGACAGTTTTGATTTACATTTAAAGACCATTCGACTGCAGCAAATGTTTACAGGCATTTTAACAGGGTTGTTTGGTTTTGTGAGGTTTTTATGTGTTTAATGTCTGTGTTTTTATAAATAGGGCTCAGAACGCCAACTTCCAGAATTCTCGCTGTGAAAACACGCCTCTGATTGGACGCGAGTCTCCTCCTCCTTCTGTAAGTTGTTACTTTTTTCTAATCCTTTAAAAATACCAAATTACAAAGTGTAAACCTATCCGCCAACTTTTGGATAATATAATTCCCTCTCAACATTTTTGTTAAGTAGCAGCGACTGTGTAGTAAACTTTATGCAGGTGTGTGTGTGTTTTACCCATCCGTCCCTTTGGATTCACTTTCATCAATCTAACACCAGCCATGCTGTTTGTCTGATTGAGCTCCATCAAACAAACATCTAAGGCCTGATGATTCAGTCCGGAGTTGGGATCACTTCTCCTCCCTCCAAGTAAAGAGCTTTTAATGCCTCAGAGTTGATATTAACATCCAACGTGGATTATTTCGCCCTGACAAAGTCCCGATCCTGCTCTCCCTCCTGTCTGTCCGTCTGCTTGGACCTCCACACTGCTTTGTGCATCTTCTCTGTACTCTCTTCTTGTCGTTCTTTCTCTGCGAACCCATACAGTTGTATTTGACTGCCGCGGACAGTAACAGCGGTCACTGCTGGCAGTTAAAGCCCTCGGAGAGTTCAAGATCATTTTGGTAACTTCATCTGCATTACTAACAGGTACTAAACATGACCGCCTCCCCGAACCTGCTGGCTTGTTCCCCCTCTGTATCACCTCCTAAAGTCCTGGCTTTGCTAACCCCTCCCCTCCCTATAGCCTCCCAGTGGTGGGGGGGTGCAGAGAAACTCCTCCTCCATGTACTGCACCCTCTGCCCTACTGTCTCATCTGATGTCTGTATTTTGTCAGCCTGGGCTGCATGTTTTCCTCCCCCTTCAACCAACATGACCATGTGAGGCTGTAGCTCTTCCCTGAGTCTCTGTAACTCATGAATCAGTGAATCAGACGCATCAAATTATAAATCTGTTATATTATATTGTTGGCTTGGATTTTCTTTGTTTTTATATTAGTTTAGTGAAGACCCTTATAAGCTTTTCATATCAGTATCTGTTTTTGCCATTAATAAGAAATCAAATAAAAAAAAAATATGGTAATTTAAAAAAATCATACAAAAATGACTGCTTACATTTTGAATGCTTTACATTATATAGAATTTAAGCATTTAAATTATTTTGTGGTTTTAGTGCAGCAAACTGTCATAAAATAATTTCATCCGTCTCTATAGATTCTCAATTAAGCCTCAATATTTTAAAATCCAGTTTAATTGCACTGTTATCCCTGCTGATTGACTTCAAGGGTTAATCAGAGCTATGTTGCAGACCAGAAATGCAAAAATAATTTAGAAGAAATAAAGGAATATTGATATGTTTTTCAGTTATGGAAAATTTTAATTCATGTGTTCCACAAAAATCATTATCATTGATCTAACTTATTGAATATATATAAATATTCAATAATTTATTGTTTACATCATAAGTAGTTGTATTTTACCTTTTGTTTAATTTACTTTAAATTATGTATTTACCTATTTTTTTCCTCTAATTGTGACACTTTTGGTCCTCAGTTTTAATGAGGCTTTGAAAAGTTCTATTTATCACAAGGGTTAGTGATAGAGATGCACCCACCCAGTTTTATCCAGCCTAATATCGATACCTGGGCTGATCAAATCACCCGATATCTGATCCCAATCTGATTCAACTGCTAAAGGAACGAACCGTATATCTCACTATGTAAGGGAAAGGCTTTAGCTTTACATAAACATGGTTAAAAAAGGTAATAAATTACACAAATCTAATTTTACTTTGTTATTTAATAACAAAATCCGTTCAATGCGTCTTTATTTAGTGAAGTAAAAAAAGGGTCCAAATTATTATTTTTAATCACATTTTAATGTGAATAACCTATGTAACGTTGTTGTTTGGAGAGAAAATTCATTATTTATTCCTAAATTTGTCGACAATGCTAATGAAAATGTTGTATCCAGGAAATATGAAGAGCTGTGATTTACAGAGACTCGGTTTGTTGGCAGACTGCTGAGTGTGATAGAGAGCGATGCAGAAATGGTAGAATCCAAATTAAGTTTCTAATTAGAATCAAATTGATTGACTGGTTGAAGGTTTGGTTTTTCTGCGTTTGTTACTTTAAGCTGCGGCAATAAAAGATTTATTAAAAATCTGTTCAAATGTCAATAGACATGCATTCATTTAACTTTGTGTTCAAAGCATAAAGCTTGTCCTGTTCTCATCCTATACTAGGTAATACATTAACAATGTATTCGGTCAATATTCATGATAACATTTTTTCTCAAAATAACTGGTTCTGGTGTCATTCAGATGACTAAAACATTTTTATGGAATAAAAAGCACCACAAAATACACAAATCAAAATGCATCTGAGATGGCCGCCCCAAAGGAGTGCAATGCAGCCCTGTCATGCATGGATTCCAACTTTACACACACTTCAGGCTCTGCACACAACAGGAAGGACAATTTAAACTACAGCAGGGTTATTTCATACTGTCTGTTTTAAATTTGATGTCCTTTTAGACTTTAGCTCTCTCTTAAAGATGATCTGTGTAGGATTTTCTCTGACCTCCTCTTATTCCTGTTTATTTTTCATTCTTTATCTTTCCAATGAAAATGAATGGATTTATTTGTTCATTCATTGGAGCCTCAAAAACATATAAAAGTAGTGTCTGATTGCTGTTGAATGAGAAAATCCAACTTTTTTTTTTTGTAACCAAACTGAGTTTCATTTTACCCTTTTTGTGTCAAACGCAGTTCATCATAAAGCTTTAAGTTTACAACCTTTTCTGTCCCGTTTCTCTTTACAGTACACCTCCAGCATGCGAGCCAAGTACCTGGCCAACAGTCGACCCGATCCCAACAACCCTCCAGCACGTTGAACCCCTCCAGTCTCCACCGAACATCTCTGAAGCTTCTCCTCCATCCAGTCTCTCCTCATCTGATCCCCTTTCTTCTTTATTTCAACCAAATGTTTTTCCCATCTCAGCTGAAGCGGAACCAGAGGACATGAATCAGAAGCACAGACACTACTAATCCAACTTCCACACTCCTTTGTTTAGCTTTGCGTGGATCGCTAAAGGCGCTGGGACTGATGCAATGGACGGTTTGAACTAATGAGGACATAGTTGACATTGAACATGGTCTCTTAAGTACTGTAACATTATCTTGTCTTTACTCTGGAGGAAATGCCGGCATCTGTAGATAAGATCTTTCACTCATTCAGCTTCGATTCACCTGCTTCAATAGTGAGGTTAGCTTGTTAGGACTCAGCTCTTTTCTGGTTTGACTCGTACTGTACCTGTGGGATTTCCACCGCACACTAACACACTTGGCTTATATAATGGCACTCTGTCTTAAATCTGTTGTCTGGGACCAGTTTTTCTGTGGTGTTGCATGTTTAACCAGTTTTTTTTTCCACTTATTTTTTTAAACTTATTTTATTTAGCCTTTTTCTTAAATATTGCAATGAGCCCAACTTCCACAGCAGTTTTTGTTCACCTGTGAATTCTAGACCTGGCAAATGGTTTAATTTGGTTGAATAAAATTAACACGTTGAAAGTTTACTTTTTCTAGGCAAGTAACTGTGAAAAAGACGAGTGCGCGGACGCTTTAAAGTTTTGAGTTCCCTGTGTCTTCTGAACTACTTGTAATGTGGTTCTTTATTAAAAGAACTCCAGATGTTTCACTCTTAAAAAAGCAGTGGAGATCACCCCAGTGGGAGTTTTAAGTTGAATAAAAAATGTCTTTTTCTTAAGAAATGTCTGGAGAAATTGAATGCATTTGCAATGCAGTGCCTCAAATGTGTTTTAGCATTTAAATAGAGCTAAGAGAAGGTGGTGGCTGCTGTGAAATGATTGGTTTAACTTCTACTTACTGTATTTAAAAAACAAACAAAACACTCTTTTAGGAAAATCCTCCATTACAGCATGGTGAGCGTTTTGCCATGGATGAGATGTTTGTGCTGCTTCTGCTTGCTTCTGAATATGTGATCAGTGTAAGAAGTGATGGTGAGACTGTGCCAACAAGTTAAGCACAAACCTTTTACACATCTTAAAATCCACCGACAGCTCCTGGGTGGCTAAGAAACAAGAAAATGAGCCACTTTATTATTTTTTTCTTCTTTTTTTAAAACAATTTATGCTTCGTTTGATAATTCACTGATGCAGTCTGGACTTTCTGATCTTTTTTTGTAGTTGTAGTTTTGACCTTTTGTAATGTACAGATAAAGAACATTTAAAACTTTGAAATTTTTTTGAATCTTTCCTTTAAAAAAAATTGTCTGAAAAGTTAAGGCATTTATTGTGTCTTTTAGGTGAAAACATAACTTTCTGTAAATATTACTAGACTGTCCCTCTTTCTTTTATGTACTACAATCACTGTAGATCTGTTTTTTTATACATAATTTTGTAACGTGTACATGTAAAAGCTGTGGCCATGTTGAAGCTTGAATGCTGTGTTTTGAAATTAAAGGAACTTTGAATTGCAGAGGCAAATGGTGTGAATCATTTGAGCAAAAAAATACTCGGAACAAACACTAGGTGGCAGCAAACCTCACAGCTAATATCCTAATTTACAATAGACCAATTTTAAAAAAAAAATTTACAGCTTTCAAATCCTTAAGAATGAAAAGGAACATTTTCCATTATATATGTGAATTTACTATCAAAGCCAAAAATGTATACAGGGCCATTGAGGATTTTTTTATTTGGTTTCCTCTAATCCTTTTTGATGAGAAACAAAGAGTAACAGCATTTTGTGAAGCATTTAATTTGGATTTCAATAATGCAACAGTATATATATATATATATATATATATATATATATATATATATATATATATCACTGTAGGTATGTGCAGTGGATATCAGATGAAGGCAGAGGCGTTTGCATGAATTTGTCTAATTAACAGGAGGCAGGAGGTCAGTGTCAACACCCGGCCAACAGTCTGGTTTTGTCGCTTCCCCTGTGGCCTCAACCAGCTGCTGTTCTCCAAAAAAAAAAAAAAAACAAGTTTGAGGATGGAAATGTTTGTTTTTGTTTTTTTTGGCCACAACTATGCTCAACTAAAAGCCCTAAGAAAAATGGATATGACAAAGAAACTACTTAAATATAACAAAAAACAATAAGAACAAATGTGCCTTTTAAGGTCCTCTCAGGTACCTAAAGTATCAAACACTGAAGAAAAATTATGTGGATTAACGACAGATCAAGGTATAATACAGAGGTTTTTATAGCTTTTGGAAAAGACAAAGAGAGCTGAAGATGCAAATGAAATTTCACACAGCCGCACTGTCAAGGAAATTGAATGACCCTGCTTGTTGCTGAACTAGAGGAATGCATTACTAATGCTTTGAGGTAAGGAGCTGAATAGAGAAGAGGAGGAGGAAGAACAGGGGGAGTGAGCTCCATACACACATGGGCAATTCCTGAGTTGGACTGGGCTCTCTGCCAAGCTGCCGGACTATGGCTCTCCTTCTTCTCAGAGTTGAGCAGCTGCAAGGCAGCAAAGCAGAAACACAAGTCAGATAACCCCCCCCCCCAGGCAGTTCAACGCTTCCATTTAAAAAAAGGCTCCACTTTTATCCGACCCAAACAAAAGAGGAGACGCATGTCACCGACGTCTCGGGTCTCTTTGATCGACCTCTGGTCTAAAAGTATTCCCTCTGTCAAACATTACAGTTGCCATGATGAATCGGTGAACAAACTGTTTAAACATGCAAGGTTTTCCACGTTTTTTAGGAAAACAAAACTAAAAATGTCTACATTGTTGATTTTGGACTCCATAAATATTTAGTGTCCCTGACTTTCTGACTGCATGTATTTTCAATTTGGGTCAAAACAAAGTTAAACATGATCCTCACTCATATTGTTCTTGCTTTGATATCGTACTTCTATCAGAGTAAAGATAAAGCAGCAAACTACAAAGACACATTTATTCCTCAGAGAAAAAAGAAACCTGAGGCCTTGATTATGAAACCTTAAACAGCTGTCTTGCTGGAAAAGGGAAACTATAGAATTACAGTGAGTTTGAGCCTCTACAAAGGTTTTCTATTGGGTTTAGGTCTGGAGACTGGTTGGCCACACCAGAACCTTGATATGCTTCTACCAAAGCCACTCCTTGGTTATCCTGGCTGTGTGCTTCAGGTCATTGTCATGTTGGAAGACAAAGCCTCGACCCATCTTCAATGCTCTAACTGAGGGAAGGAGGTGTACAGTTTTGTCTCTAGTGTCTTTGGACAGCTGTTTGGTCTTGGCTATGTTAGTAGTTGGATTTTTACTGATTGTATGGGGTGGACAGGTGTCTTAATGCAGCTAACGACCTCAAACATGTGCATCTAATTTAGTATAATAGATGGAGTGGAGGTGGACATTTTAAAGGCAGACTAACAGGTCTTTGAGGGTCAGAATTCTTGCTGATAGACAGATGTTGAAATATATATTTGCAGCTGTATTATACAAATAAATAGTTAAAATAATCATACATTTTGATCCCCGGATTTTTTTAGATTATGTCTCTCGCAGTGGACATGCCACTACTATGACAATTTCAGATCATTTCAGATCCTCCATGATTTCTAAGAGAGAGAATTTGGAAAATAGCAGGAATTTCAAATACTTATTTTTCCTTACTGTATATTACTGTGAATATAAGGAAATATATAAAATAGCACATTTTACATAATGTTTAGGATTTGGAAATCCCAAAATCTGTGATCTCCATCAGCCCAAATAGATGGCAGCACCAGTAGTGAAGAGGAGCAAACATGGAATATAAACCACCTCTAGTTGTAGACTACTTTAAATAATAATTGATTATACTTCTGCTCACTCCAGCTTTGCAAACAGAAACCTCTTTAATTAAATTACTAACAAATAACCTATTTTCTTTGTACTTCGGCTGCTCTTTAACAGATTTTCTGTCTACTTCTTGTACCTGGTGTCAGGTTTTGCTTGTGGTCTTGTCCAGTATAGCATGTAGATCAGATGGCTTCAGGCTATCTTGCATAATTTCATCAGCTTGGTTAGAAAACATCATGGCCTCCAGCAATTGAAAACATGCTTCCTTCAAGGTGAGTGTGAAGTAGTTTGGTTGAGGATCAGTAAGGTGAACAAAAAAAACAAAAAACGATTCAGCCATCAGTTCCAGATTTCTCCTTTGTCTTTTATTTAGTATTTTCACTCTGACAACCTTTTCCAAGTGTCTAAGAGCTCAGTGCTTATATAACCAAGTGGCAACACACCAAGCCACGATTAAACAGGTAAAAAAAAAAAAAAAAAACAAAGTCTAAACAGAGAAACAAGAATAAAATTATTAATCTAATTTACAAAATCATCTACATAATGAAAGAGTCTGCAAAATAAACAATGTGATAGAAGATAACTCAAAAAGTTACTTTAAAGAAAAACACACAAAGCATTACTCCAAAGGAAACCCTCTAATTGGTAGAACCCAGCAAGGTAATTGATGACATCACCTAGCCAATTTAGCAGGAAATACTTGGACAAATGGTGAATAAAAAGGAAAAGCATTAACATGAATATACTTTGAAACAAAATAAACAATTTCAACCAATAATCCAGAAGTAATAGCCTTAACCATGGGTGTAAGTTTGCATAGGGACCATAGGGACATGTCCCTACCAACATTTTGGACCAACCTACTTGTCCCTACCAACAATTACATGTGAATAACATGTTTGTAATCTACAATACAGCTTTGTTGCAGCAGAGGAGTTCTGGATGGAGAATATTGACAGACGAAAACATGTTTTATCTAAAATTCAAAATTTGCATTTATTTTTTTTTACAATTTTGGTTTAATTTCTGCTCTAAGTGGGTCGCTCTGTGAGCTAAAGCCATGTTTTAGAGTCTCTATACTCCAGTTAACTATTGTTTGTTGATATTATTTCAATAATTGATTAATCCGATCGATTGTTTCAGCCCTAAATAAAATACATGAAATCATTAATTAGAGTAACTACATCCTAGATGTACAACTTGTAGAGTAAGGTTAATATATGAAATGCTCAGTGTCAGTTCCTCTTCTAGTTCCAGTGCACATGTAAATACAATGAATTTATTTAGCGTCCCTTAAATGTATTATTTCGCTTTGTTTCATGATACAAAGAGAACATTTACCTCTGTTTACCTCTGCACAATTCTATATCTTCAAAATAAAAGAAAGTATAAATCCACATATAACAGACATATTTAGACTATATTCTGTTAAATAGGCACAGATTTACCTACTGTCTTAGTCGCTGCTAATTTCAAATGCAAACCTTTTCAAAGTGGAAAAAAGTCCTACTGTCATGTTGGGTCTAAGAGGGAAACCCAAATGCAGAACACCACAGACTCAGAGTAAAAGTTCAAATTGTTTATTGAAGAGAAAACACAATAATGTTATTCGGGTTCAGATGCAGGAATGGATCCAGGAACCGGTAACACAGGACTCTCTGTAGAGAGGGACAGTTTGGTTAGCCAAGAGACTGGAGTATCTTGTCAGAGTCTTTGAATTGATGGGTACCTGATGTGGTTCAGACAGAACTGTTGAGGGAGGGAACCAGACGGGTCCAGAGACAGAGGTATCAGCTGAGGGCTTAGCAGCGGCAGGGCTAGGCTTCAGGCTTTTGAGATTCAGACCTTGAATTGATCTCCTAGCTCTCTCCTTGAGAGCCAGCAGGTTGTTCCAGGCGGAGCTCTTCAGGTTTGGCTTCCAAGGGCAGGCCGGCAGGTTTTCAGGGTTTGAGCTCTTCCAGAGCTCCAGGAGAAAATCAGATCTTCCTAGGAAGGTAGAGAAGACAAGGCTGGTTAGATTCAGGTTGGCTTTAAAAAGCAGTCAGAGTTCCAGGCAACAGGCTTGCTAACCATAAACTGTTTAACACTCTGGCGCTGAAGGGAAGTCAAGCCGCTGCTTATATAGTTGGTCTCCTGACGAGATGATCAGCCTCAGGTGTGCAGGTGGCTTCAGCTCAGGAGACCCAGGGCGCCCTTTGCTGGAGAAAGGTGGCAGATCTCCGGATCCCAACACCTACTGTTGGGAGCTGGAGAAGTTCCATCTTTCTCCAGCAGAGTCCGCCGTGGATCCTTCTGAGTGAGCCTCCTGCACAGCTGCAGCCCATCAGATCATCAGAGGATCCACTACTTAAGCTGTCTTCAGACCTTGCCTCAACGCCGCAGTGTTGATCCAGTTGGTCAGCGCCTAAGCCTAGACTCTCAGTGAAATCTCTGTGACTTTGAATCCAGCCTGGATTCTAACCCTTGTGTCTGTCTTCCAGGAAACCAGTTTCTCCTCTGTGGAGCTCAGGAAGAGCTAACCTGCCGAGCCGACCCTCAGAGCCAAACCTGAAGAACCTCAGTGAACTCCCATGCAGCTCAGGACTAAGAGCTGGAAAACCCAAAGCCAAGGTTCTGGTCAGAACTAGATGTAAGACGCTGAAGCAGCTAGCGGACTCTGCTGATCAACTCCTCTCCAGATCCTACAG